GATAGAATATTGATAGAATTTAACTTTATATATCCCATCGCCAACATGACAACAGCACATATTTTTGGTAAAAGGAGCAGTGAACTATAAATATTAATTTATTAAAACAAGTAACTGTTATGACCTATTTATCTTTATTTATTTGTTTAAATCTGCAATAATATGATAAGTGATCTCTAATTAGTGTCTTTTTATAGTTACGTGAATGTTTGATTAGTACGTCGAAAAATTTTTGTGGTTGCTATCTGTTGCTATCATGTGGTAAAGTATCATACTTCTCTATAATGCAAAACTTGTATCGCTCACTAAGTTGTCCAATATAAATAATATAATAAATCCAGCTTGTTAATATATATCGAGTGATATTTCTTAATATACCACTAAATACCCACTGCACATTTCGAGTACGAGCGAACACTTAAAACGTATCATTTTATTACTTCGGGTCAAAGGGAAGCTAGAATACCATGATTACTATACACGAATCCTCAGCGGAGTAGATTACAATAAGGCGGTATTTTAATTTAATTCATTTAAATTGTTGTCCGTTGTCAAAATAATTAAGGGACGACTGACCACCATAATCATTTTTAAAAATTAAGTTTTATAAATAGACTGTATTCTATTTATTTCATTTTCATTTTATATTTTCATAATATATTACAGAAACATACCCAAGGCAATAGCTTTGCATAAAGACATACTCAATGATATTGTATTTGCATTTTACAAACTATGACATAAGAAATGACCAACAGCGTATCCATTATGAATTTTACTTTGGTAGAGCCACGCAACATTGTTCACTGTTGCACGAATGGGCAGGTCCGTCCTGGTAAGTATCACGACCTCACAGAAGACCTGCATGAAGTAGAATTGTTGCACTTCTGCGTTTCGTCTGGTGAATGAGTAAGCCGGGGCTCACTTTATTTAAAGGTGGCGACGCATTTGCAACCCTACCTCCTCCCTCCTTGGGCAGCGGCTATCACTTAATATCAGGTGAACCGACAGCTCGTTTGCTACTTCCTAACATAAAAAGAAAAAACAGTACGTACATAGACGTCTTTCACATTTTGTTGGTGCGTTAGTGAGGGGCGCGACTCATCAACTCCTCGGGCGACGAGTATTGCCAACAACGATGGCAGTATTCGTTAAAAGTAGCGCTCTACAGAACACACAGTACACATCCACTTTTGTAAGATATGTCGATGTCATATTTGCCAACTAATAATGTAAAAAATCAAAGGCCAGCCGTTCAATTGTTTATTTATTTCAATAAAATGATGTTTACTCTAGAGTCGACAAAACGTGATACCTATTTCTATTTTATTATAATCAAATTTTGTTTTACAGATGAAACATAAAATGTTTTGGGCAATTAGACATAAGGAATAAAGTCGTGCCTTTATTAATTTATCCATTAAAGCAATCTACTCCGTCTAATCTAACCTTTCTATTAAAAACATATCAGTACATTTAATGATATTCCTTAGATTAAAGTTCTAATGATAGTGAATCAACAATTCAAATTACAATTACGATGTCTCTTGTCACGCAATGCGAGAAACAGATGGTAGTATATTTACAAAGAGTATTAATATTGAAAATTAAGGTAATAACTGTCAAAAAGTTTTTTGAAACTCTTAAATATATTTACACTAAAATAAATAGAGCAGACCTACATGCACACCCCAGCCCAGTTTGAACTCCGGGTAGGAGAGGAATGAGGTGTCAGCTGGAAAAGATATCTGCGTCTCAGTAAAGAAGAACAAGGCCGGCTTTGCCGTCGCCAAATGGAAGTGGACGGCGCTTAAGTTTGAATTTACCCCGGAATAGTCTACCCATTCGGGTCACCTGATGTTAAGTAAATACCGACGCTCATGGAAATCTGCTACACCCGAGGGTTACAGATGCGTTGACAACCTTTTGAAAATTGGGCTCAATTGATTTACCTCACTCACCAGACGAAACGCGAAAGTATTTGTCATACTTGGAAGTATTACAGATACCTTACACTGGTCTTCTATGAGGTCGTGGTACTTACCCGGACGGACATGCCCCTTCGTGCAACAGCCGAGGCTGCTGCGTGGCCCAAATCTCAGACTACTACCAAAATCTCAGACTGGGATCGACCGAAATCTCGATTAAAGAAGCTTGGTATGCTCAGCAAGGCAAGACAGTACTTCACGGCGGCTCAACGCCTAAACCTCTATAAAGTGCAAACTCGGACCCACATGGAGTACTGTTTACCTTTAGGCAGAAGCCCCCAGCTTCTTCCATTTGATCGCATTCAACGTAGAGCGGCTAGGGTTATCGACGATCAAAGTCTTTCCGATCTGCTTGATCCTTTGGCTCTGCGTAGAGGTGTTGGATCACTCTGCATCTTCTACCACATCTATCACGGGGAGTGTTCCGTGGGATTGTTTCGATTGATCCCAGCGGCTGAATTTCACCATCGGACGTCGCGCCAGTACCAAAAATTTCATCGACATCACCTCGATGTGCAGCGTACCAGAACAGCGTGATTTTCAAGGCATTTCCTGCCTCGCACAACCGCTGTGTTGAACCCGCTACCGCCGGCGGTCTTTCCGACCCGTTACGACCTGGGAACTTTCAAGAAGAGAGCATACTCTTTCCTACAAGGCCAGCAACGCATTTGTGAGCCATCTGGAGTAGGAGGTGTCCAAGGGCGGTGGTGATCACTTACCACCAGGTGAGCCTCCTGCTCGTTTGCCGCTTTTTTCCCATAAAAATATGGCCTTACCACAGTTCTATGCACAAATAATATTTTATGCATAAAGTTAAATAATAATTTGGTGTTAGTTAGTTGTCGGTGGGTTTTATATAAACTGTATTTTACTCTAGATTTCATTTAAATGTAAAATCCAAAAGATACCACGTACTTTATCCAGGGCCACGATGATTCATAAAACTTACAATCAATCCCTGTTTTACTGCGCTTCACTGATGTACAAACTGACGCAAAAATAAAGCACAGCTCTCCGTATTTACAAAAAATAGTAATCGATCTTAATTTTGTAAGCGAGTTGTTTGAAATTAAGCTTTAAACCTAAATCATTTAGGTAAAAAGTCGATACGTTGCGAAATGACAGCAAGACGTGTTTTGTTTTAGTGCATCACTGAACTCCTTTTTGCATCACAACAAACATATGTGGTTCAACGGTTCAAGTACACTGGATCAATTTAAAAGCTGACAGTGATATGTGCAAGACATCCTTTCTTTTTCTGTACAAATTGGATAGGAACATTCAGCTCCTCGTCGAACTGACCTCATCGTCATCACTTTATGCATTATAAGCAGTATTCATAAAATTTTTGCTGCGCTGCTTGCCTATTTTGGGTTACAAAATATTGAACACATATAACATTTTGTAAGCGATAGACTAGCAGCGCTCATCATACAATAAACCAGAGTTATTATTTATATTTGAACGCTTCGCCTGATGAATGACATTATCAGCGAACCACCATCATACTTATCTGGCACGACCACGGATGCCCAAAATTGCCGACCGTCATACGAATTTCCAGCTCATACGCCTTCTTAATTAAACAGAAATAATGTTTAATAAAAAATATACTACAGTTTATTCATAATGTACATTATTTCTCCTATGTGTGTGAATAGATGAGGAAAACGCGTTTACTTTATTCGTGTTACGGTTTACGACATTATTTTTAGCATGATTTCTCAACAACTAATTTCATAAAGTTTGAAGCGAGATATTTACAAAAATACATTTGCGAAGTAATATGTGCGATTTAATTGTCTACTTATTTACCTTTGAGATTATTAATTTTGAGTAATGATGATTTTTTCTCCGCTATTTTTGGAGCTGCTTTGATTACTGTAAATTCCCTATGGTATCACCAAAGCAAACATATTTTGTCCACTGTGTAAAATTTTTTGTCATAAAGCTAGAAGAAATCGCGGAAATTTTGCCTTGATGTATTTGATCGTAAATAAATGAAGCTACCCCGATAGCATTATCTCATAGGCGTTGCTTTTTTTAAGAAAAAGAAACGTTTATTCACGGTCTAAACAATGAATACATACAAAACTTAAAAATAATAATGTAACTACACATAAAATTAACATAAATGTAAACATAACAAAAAACAAACAAAATAATAACAGTAAGTGCCGGTCTGTGTAACAGCATAAGACCGTGAAACGGACGGGACTCGGTAAAAGTCGAGATACAGTAACTAAAATTTGTTCCGATCCCGACACCGGTTTTCAGTCCGGCCCGCACTCCGAGGCAACTCGGACGGCTGCGTCAGTGAACTGCTAGCTCATTCTATTCCATTGCTCTCACAAAAGAGAGCAATGGAATAGAATGAGCTAGCAGTTAAATTATCGCCCAAAATACCCTAATACTCTACAAATGCCAACTTCTTAAAAAATTTGGCCTTAAGTTTCTCACTCACCAGGCGACATGCAAAACTATGTCAACCCCGTGGCGCTCAAATTCGATAAATTGCTTTTTTTAATGTGAGGTGACAGGTCGGCTGGCGGTTCACCTGATGTTAAGTAATAACCGCCGCACATCGAGATTTGCAACATCCGTAGGCAGTTGCAGATGCGTTACGATTGGAATTGTGTGGGCCCCGGCTATGAATTGCAGAAGTATGCCATTTCCTTCGCGCCGGTCTAATGTCAGACCTTACCCAAACACATTTTAAAAATTACCAATGCACTGAGCATTTGATTAAATAATTTAATATTTAGGCCATTTAAGCAACTAAAAATACCGTATTTCAAATATAACTTTCTAATAGTGACTCTTTCATTCGCACAAAGTTCATAGATTGTACCATACGCATATACGTCACTTATCTCGGATTAAAATGTCGGCCACAACGAAGATACTTCCACCGAAGAGTGTATGTAACGCCAAACAAGAAGCGATGCGTGCTACGAAATAATTGGTGACTATTATTGTTTTACAAATTGAAGTTGCATCAAATTTCAGAAGATGAAAACTCCGTGCATATTTCCTGGATGTTCATTTATAGTGAGTACTTATATTATAGTGTATATTATTTTGCAATTGTTTAATTTTGAAATTTCACGAAAATTATTAGCTATTTGCTGGTTATTGCTTTTTACCCGTTGTTAATTTAATTAAGAATTACTGGAATAATAGCGGTGAATGATCTAACTTCCATATTTATTTTATATTAAGTACCTACCAATGAAATTTAATTTCCTCAATTCTATGTATAGATATTGAAACATATATACCTAGTCTACATTAAAAATATACGTGCACATAACTTTACTTGAAGATTTGAAATTTATTTATTAGAATTTAATAATAATATTGATGATAGATAAAGAACATTAAAAGCCAAAAGATTCAAATTAAAATGTGAAAATTTTCCAACATTTTTGTTTTTATTTTTTAATGAGGAAATATGGCGTTAACAGTATACAGTACTTTGACGTTCTGTAAGTATATTGACTGCTTTATTTCAGCGCGTTTATCAAAGTAAAGACGCGTAATCATGCCGTATCTAAATTCTTATCAGGTTTTAATGATAAAAGTATAGCGTAGGAAATATGTAGAGAGAATATTTTTTATAAGAGTTTAATAGATGAATAATCTCGTTACTTTTTATTTTCTGCTTTACTTTCATATAAATTAAATTAGTAATATTCAATAAAATTAAACAGTGTAATTATTATTGGTACACAATTTACTAATCTAAATGTCGATTAACGTGAATTGTAATAAAACATTCACAAATATTTACATTTAATAATTTTATCATTATTTTTGCCTCGTGAGAATACCTATATCTATAATCCAACCATATTCTTAATGTTTAACAATAACTCGACGAATAAAGTTGGAATTCAACTGTTTGGCAAACTTTGATCAAAGTTATACCGACGCGACAGTGGAAATAACAAGGTAGAGATGAGACGAAAATGTGTTACTCATTAAATAACATTAACAAACATCCTATTAGCATGAAAGCGGTAAAGTAGTGTAAAATTTTAAGGCCATCAGTTTCTAGCTCAAAGGTTATACCCCCCGGTCATATCACCATCATCATCATTTCAACAGGTTTGACTCCATCGTTAAATGTAGGCCACAATTGCCACGATGATATTGTTGCGTGTAAATACTAGCGACTAAATATACCGTGATAGTCCATGTCTAATGGCTTAGTCAATTTTAGAATAAATCCGATCCACAGATATTGTGATCTTGGGGATTTTATGGCCACGCTCAAGGGCTCAAGTTATAAGGATTATGGAGAGGTCTGTTTATGACTTAGTTATGACGAGAGACTCCAAAAGAGTACAATTTTGTCTCTAGGTCCTTCAAAAGAATCATCATCACCAAGGTCAAATCACAGTGGCAGAGTCGGTGATATATTCTGCTCCCTCATCAATTCTGTAAAAGGGTATTTCTGTATACTGTCCGTACCATCTTTGCACAGAGAACATTTCTGCACATCTTTACCACAAAAGGGGAAGCCGCCCTTTTCTCACTATTGTTGCATATAAGTTTGGTTTCTGGAACGCGATTAAAGGCGGAAAGCACTTTTCTCTCTGGATATCAAAAGGTAACTGCCACAGCTAACCTTCAGAAGTCTTGGACAATACTGCAGTCACTCGCAATAAAAAGCCAAGGTGGCTTCTTAAATGTTTAATGTCCTCAGTTGAGACAAACAGTATTCACTGCCAGCCCATCTCATCGTATATTCGACTCACTCGGAACACTCTTCTCATCTCTGTGCTGCGTTACCACTGTACTAGCTCCTTCCATTTGACTTTTCGGTCTTCACTTTGAATTTCACTTTACATTTTCTAGCGCGTTTATCACGAAAAGTGTTCTGAGTTATTGTTCAGATTTACACCTGCTACTGAGTTTCACCACTGAACTACCCTCAAAACCGCTAAATGCTATCAATACCCTTCATGACCTTCATGGTTGGCAGATACAAACTTTTAACAGAGAGATTGCTATTTTAAAGGCTTGCAACGTATTTGTAACTCCTTCTGATGTTGCGAGTGTCCAAGAGCGGCAGTTTTCACTTTGTATCTGATGAACTGTTTCCTGATTTGCCTGCACCTTTCCACGTGAAGAATATTTCTGAATGGGCAGGCTCGTCCGAGTAAGTACCACGACCTCAAAGAAGACCGGCGTAAAGTGGAAGTATAATACTTCCGCGTTTCGTCTGGTGAGTTAGGTGGCCGGAGCCCAATTGTCAAAAAGGTTGTCAACAAATCTGCAACCCTCTGGTGTAGCAGAAGTGCATGGGCGGCGGTATTCACTTAACATCAGGTTTTTTTTTTTTATGGGAATAGGAGGCAAACGAGCATGTGGGTCACCTGGTGATAAGCGATCACCGCAGCCCATGGAAATTTGCAACATCGGTTGAGTCGCAATTGCGTTGCCGGCCTTTAAGGAAGGAATACGCTCTCTTCTTGAAGGTCCCTAAGTCGTATCGGTCTGGAAATACCGCTGGCGACAACTCGTTCCACAAAGTAGTTGTGCGGGGTAGAAAGTTTCGTGAAAAACACACTGTGGTGGAACGCCAACCATCAAGGTGGTGTCGATGGTAGGTTAACGGTCTGCTCGTTTGGCAAATTTTCACATAAAAAAAAATGGTAGCGCTTGTTTGCTTTTGGTGAGTTCACTCATTGAAAAGGGCCGACGTAGTAAATTACGTTAGTAGACTTAATGACAAATTAATTGAACCTATTCTACCTTAATTAAAACACAATGAATAGAAGCAAAGAGAATAGGTTAATTATTGCTAACGATTTCATATATTTACTCGATGAATGTTACCTATACTGTTATAAATGAAATTGTTTACATACATTTTAATGCATATGGTTTGATTTTAAATTCTAATTAACCTACGTTTTAACTTACACATGAATTATTTAGGTACAGCTCAAAGTAAAAAGTTTAAAAAAAAATTGACGTAATTTTATTAATATTATTTATAGTCAGCGAAATATTTCATTTATCAATTAGTAACAAAAACATAATTTATTCCGCCTTTTAAATAAAAAGTCCCCACTCAGTTCGGAGTTCGTTCAAAATCCGCATAGTATTTTTTATGTCAATACAATTCTGTTAATTGAATTCTTAATTGAAGTTATTAAATTAATTGCTATTAAGCGCTACAAGAATTAATGTACTAAATATTTCAATGACAGTAGAATTTTTAATAAAGAAAAAAACATCGAAACAATAAAATCGAAAGAGCGATTAATAGAAGGGGAAACAAGTAAATATAATTTAATGTTATATTTCGAAATAAACGTTTCCTGAGAATGTTCCGGTTTGTGAGTTTGAGACCGTCAATTGCCTAATTATCTCCCGGTCAGTAACTTAAATTGAGTCAAAGTGCCAACCCGTTAGATCAGTTTTTGCTCCGTGTGTTCTCACGCTTCTGACCTTTTCTGCACTTCAATTGTTATTGTTCTTTTACAACATTCATCATAAGAATGCAATGATTCAAACAGTTCTAACTTACTCGTTGTCGTTTCAAGACGCAGATGCAGTTTTCAGTTTGATATTTATCTTAAATAATAAGACGCAGAAAACGTAAGTCTCTGTTTAATCCCGTAGCCAGCTCTATGTCACAATCAATACGCCAAAGTGCAACGCAGTCGCAGAAAAACTAGCCTTTTCTCGCTCTGGCTTATCAAAACTGAGTGGGAGGGTCCGATTCTGGAGCTGATAACAACACTAAATTTCATAATGGCAGTAGCATTCGCACATTCGGACGCAAGGATAATAATGCAAAAGTGGGACACACAAATTGGTCGGGAACCCAGTGGACGTGACGGCTAAGGGGCGTGTGACATTCGTTATAACTTTATTGCATTTCTATTGGACCGGACGAAGGGAGCGTGAGAAACAATGGTAAATACATTTTCTTCCGTTTAAAAAACACAGACATCAACTTCTTTCTGTTGGTCGCATGTTTCAACAAATCCTTTTTGGTATTAATTTTTTTTTAAATAACGGGAAAGTTGTAATTATTAATATTTAGAAAATACAAGGTAATAAAAACGTTTATAAATATGTGCGTTTAAATCGTTAGATGAATACGTCCCTCTTAAATTGAATAATTTTCATTTGATATTGAACAACTTGCCCGTATTTTGTTTTTAAACAATGTCTATCTTCTTGGTTTTTATAACTTTCTGCCACGACACAGTACGTGCTGGCAGTCTTTACCGACGGGAATATTCGAAGATTAGATTATGTCGATAGTAATTACAGACTGTTATAGTTTAGCTGAAGCTATTCGCGCTAATGTACCGTTTTAATATCATGAAAATTACATCTATTATGATCAAAATAAATCTGAAATGATTGTTTTCTTGATTTTACGCGAATATTATACATTTTAAATGAAACTACTTTACCGATTTTCTCTCAAATGAATTCAAAAATGTGTACAAAGAAAAAAAGAGGTGACAGAGATTTTCTTTTGATCTTCTTTCATTTATTACCTTTGTATTAATCATGTAAAAAATCTTAACCCGAGATTTATATTGTACCACATCTTTAAATTTAAGTTTGGTTAGACCTATCGTGCCTACAACCTAGACGGGCTATCCACAATTTTGTTCAAATATTTCTATCCTAGCAGATGTTTTATTCAAAATCCAGTCTACTTATATATAATTATGTTGTTATTGACAATCGGCTCTGTAATCGTTGCGTGCTGATGCTTTCTCTTAAATTCGATGAAATGCAAAGTAAAGAAAGTAAAGAATCCCACACACAACGTTCACAAGATGTAATTGTGGATAGATCATGGATTCCTTTCAGCCCCATAACACATACAATAATTTCAGAATACCTCAAATGATTACATGTTATTTCACGCTGCAAGGCCGCTGATAGTCTGAATGCGATATATTTCTATTTGATAAATTATGAGAAATTCAACAAACATCTTTAACTCTAACTCTTACAAAAAGTTTATATAATATTTTAGTGTAAAGTAAAATTATACTGATGCACGAGAAAATATTAACCTTGAAATATACTGTTAAGCTTAAGTTTAATTTTATTGGAATTATTTTACGGTTAAATTAATTTATAGCGTCTTAGGAAAGGGAATAAAGTGCACGTTTAAAATTCCTCAAATTACGGAAATCTTTGAACAGTGTTTGGTCCTGTCTAACAAATCAGGGAAGTAATTTGTGAAGGCTATCGTTTCCTGATAAATATAAATAATCGAAATTTATATCATCGAACATTCGACTATTAAATTAGAAATGGAATGGTAATTAAAACTTATTTCATCAACGTGATAAAATCAATTGTGAGTATATTCATATTATATGTGAATATACCATAACGATATTAAAAACTAATATTCCAAGCAAATACAAAAATTACGAATATAGATATTTATCTGTGAAACTCAACGTTATACTAACAACCCGTTGTTATACCTTCTGCTTAAAATTATCTATTAGTATATGTCTATCTTATAAATCTATTACTGATATCTTCACGTCTTAGTGGAAATTGTCCAAAATACACATTGTGTATAAATATATAAATAAATACACATGTAGACACATTTAGGTATTTCACTTTGCAATGATAAAACTAATTGATTTACACTGATTTGTAAAAGCTTTTAAGATATAATATTATATGACGCATTACAATGATCTATTAAAATCTTTCCCTCAATGCTTTTTTTAAATAATGAAAACTGTCAGTTCCATATTATATTTAAGTAGTACAACATTCTAGTACCAACAACAATTTATAACCATAATGTATATATTTAAGTAATGGATAACGTTTAAACAATTTTAATTGTTTTATCCCATTTTTATAAAAAAAATCAATATTAAATATAACTAGTTTGGCTTATAATTTATTTTATATTAACTTGTCGACAAGTTGTGAAATGGATTACAACAAATATTAAGTGGGCGTAAATTTAAATTTGAACGTAGCGATAGCTGCGTAGGACGGAAACGAAAATTTTCCCATGAAGTATGTAAATAAGCCTCGGGAAAATTAGATTCGATTAAGTTTTAATACGTTCTAGTTGACTTTGTATTAAGCAAATTTGTGTATTGACAATTATGTTTGATTGCGTAAGTATCAAACAAAAATGAACCGTTTATTAAACAAAGAATAATGTAATAAAATAGAATAACGATTGCGAACCCTAGCGATATGTCAGTGTTGCATCATTAGACCAAATACATTCAAATAATCACCTACCCAGCTGTCCAGTGGCCATCGGTGCCGGGATAGGCACAGCTAACAGTAAGTGTCTGGGACACTGGCGGCGGACCTGATCTGTGGGTGCGCAGCTCACCGCGTATTGGAAGAACGGCACATCGTAATACTTATATCGTCTCCCTACCCGTGGACCAATGACTTCTGTAAATCCATTTTTTTGTTTACGTGGGGGAAATGCCTACGCATACCCGCTCTCGCGGGGGCAAGAGCGGGTAATGTCGGACTCGAACCGACTAAAACTGGAACATACGCCTTCCTACTCGGCCCCCTTTTCACGGCCAACGAAGTCTCCCGAGTTCGTTGACTGGGGCCATGGGAGCGAGGAAAGCCAGTGCTAATAAGCAGCCAGCCTCCCAGCCCCCAGCGGTGGACCTGGTCTGTGGCTCCACCGCTCACCACGTTTCGGCCGTGGATGGTAGGGAGAACGGCACATCGTAATACCGACACTCCTCTCGCCCCGCGGCCCCACCACCACTGCATCAACGGTGCAGCCCCGCCGAGTTGCAGAGGATAGGTAGCGCGGCCAACGCAATACTGACACTCCTCGTCCCCCGCGACTCCTCTTCGGTAGCAGAAGACAGGGGTTCCACCTCTACCACCCTCAACCTGTCCCCTGCACCCTCACGCACGCATCCAGAGTCGGCTCAATGAGCCCACTCGGAGCGGCCCTGTCGGGCGCGCGTTAAACCACAGGCCGGTCCAGTGTGGGTTAGCTTCGCCGGTGGGTGACCAAACCACGGCTACTAAGCCCCTCCGCCACGTCAAGGCGGGAACCCGATCGGAGAGGCTGCTGTAAATCCCTGCCCAATCGCGAGGATAAGGAGAGCTGCCTCATGCAATACCAACACATACCAACGCATACAAAAATAAGTATGTATATATATACCCAATAAGGTATATATAGGCAGCGGCCCCAATGCAGACTATTCATTTATCTATAAAATATGTTTTATTCATATTTCTAAGATAGTCAGGGTATGTTATATCCTGGAAAAAAACGTCACTTTACTCGCAAGAAATAACAATAATTAAAAACTTAAGTTTAATCTTAGAATTTGAATTGTGGTTCCTCCAGTTCATAGATTTATAAGCAAGGTCACTGTATCTACCATAGTTGCCTGTCCGACTTCTTAGAATATTTCCCTTAATTTATTTTCCCTGCATTATTAAGATTATTTTAACCGACTTACTTTTGAAGAAATTTAATAAGGTTTGATGAAATTTCAAGAGTATTTTAAATGTAACCCAGTTAATATGTGTACGGTAAACAAAACCTTCTAAGGTTTTTTTATTGTTAGAAAAAGGAATTTATATTTTTGTGGATTTGTTATTTTCAAATATATAAATGAGAAGTTCATTATGACATATTGTACGTTTTAAAAATATTACTTATCTGGAACATTATCAAAAACGGAAATGGCTAATTTGACAAACGCGTTCTTAATCGTAATAAATGGTCGAAATTAACGATTACAACTTTTAAATTATAGAATTATGACAAAATTTGATATATAGAATGACTTTAGAAATTAAAATCTATCACACTTTCTTTAATAATAAACCTATCACTCTTTTAGAACCTATCACATTTCGAAGACAATTATATTTATACCTTCCATAATGATATTGACACAGTAATTTTCAAATTTCCATATTTAAAGTATTTTAAATAGTAAAATATTTAGCAAAATGATTTTACACGCGATAAAATAAAAATCCATTATACTGTAAATGACTGCATAAAGTACTAAAAAAGGAATGCCATTTAACACTTTATAAGAAAATCTACCTTGTTCTTATCAATGATTCATATTTAAATCGTAAAACTGTTCGTTACGTATACATCAACTGCTGTGAGTCAAACGTAATTAGGAAAAGATATGAAAAATTGGTTCTTTGCGGTGCCTTTGAAAATAAGTTGCCGTATTAAGAGTGATTTTAATTGACTTCCTTACTGGACTTTCTTGATTTCTCTAAATTACATTCCTGTTAGCTATTGCTTTGAATAAACACTTTTCTAATGAAATAAACAGTTATTACAGTTTTTATTCCATGTGAGATTTGTTTATAATAAATATAAACGTTTGTTTTGTCTTTCCAGAGTAAGCTCTTTGGCTCCAAGACAAGTGAATTCGAAAATGAAGCTTTAGAAGTACACAATGAGTACCGACGAGAACATGGAGTACCTCCATTAGTATTAAATAAAGATATAAGTAAAATAAGTCAAAAATGGGCCGAAGAATTGGCAAAAAAAGATGCCATGTCCTACAGTTTGAACCAAAATTATGGAGAAAGCGTATATTGCGGATGGTCACCGGATCCTAATGTTAAAATAAAGGCACGAGACTGCGTCGAAAAATGGTACAATGAAATCAAAGATTTCTCATTCGGCAAGGAACCGGAGATACTGAATTGCGGCCATTTCACACAAATCGTTTGGAAAAACACTAGAGAGCTGGGTGTTGGAAGCGCCAAAAGTAAATCGGGGAAACTGTATGTTGTTGCGAATTATTTCCCTCCGGGTAACTATAGTGAACAATTTGTCAAAAACGTTTTACCTCCAGGTGCGTTACAATTCAGATCCAGCTTCAGTAGTACAAGCTCTTACCCCGAACGGAACAACTCAACCGGATCACAGTCACCTAGCCAAAGGATTAGCAAAAACTTAACCGCGATCGGCACGGACTTAGTTACTAAGTTCAGGTCGACATCCATATCTAGTGAAAAATTTGAAGAGGATTTTTTAAGGGCCCACAACGAATATCGTAGGAATCATGGTGTTTCTGCGTTAGAACTAAACAAGAAGCTGTGTAAATATGCCGAAGAATGGGCGAAAAAGCTCGTGAAGATCGGAAAGGTGGAGCACAGAGATCAAAATGAATATGGTGAAAATATTTTCTACGCCTGGTCTTCAGACCCCAATTTTAATGTTTCTGGGCGAGACCCAGTTGACAAGTGGTATGAAGAAATCAAATTACATTCTTTCGGTAGAGAACCGAGTGACATTAAGTCTGGGCACTTCTCACAAGTAATTTGGGAGGATAGCAAAGAGTTAGGCGTAGGCGTGGCAAAGTCAAAAGAAGGACAATTTTACGTTGTTGCTTATTACTATCCACCAGGAAATGTAATGGGAAGTTTTGCGAAAAAAGTTAAACCACCTATAAACTAATCATAAAATAATAACTTTATCAAAGACTCGATATGCATTCCAAATGTTTCTGTATTCTAAAGCATTGCATTTAATTGAACGATTATATTAAATTATACATATCCAGATATATCCTAGTTATAAATAAGTGGGGTGATTGGTGAAATGGTTATTGTACAATGCGAACCTTGTTATGATATCTAATCAAGATTATAGACGGTTGCCAAATCACAACAAATTAAAAGACTATTTCGGCCTAAGAAAAGGTCAGCTGAAATGCTTGATATTGGCCTTCGTATGATTCATCTACCGATGAGTGGGCTGGCAAAGACGCTGATGTAGATAAGGCATGTACACCTCAAAGGGAATTCGACAATTACTGCTGTTAGACAACTTATTCATGTGCAGCAAATTTCTATTTGAACTGGTAAATAATTGCCGTGAAAGAAATGTTTTTTTAAGTATGTATGTATGTTCTTATATACATATTTGTAGTGATAAAGCCAAAGCAATTATTTATTAAAATATTTATAATTAACAAACATATTTGTGTTAGTGACCACTCTTATTTGTCATATAATTATCCGTTTCTTTTTAACCGACTTCAAAAGAAGGAGGTTCTCAATTCGACTGTATTTTTGTATGTCTGTTACCTCATAACTTTTCACCGATTGAACCGATTTTGATTGTATTGGATCTTGGGCTTCGGAGATACTTAGGAGGTCTCCTGAAAATCAATTATAAAATACACAGCGAGATATTTGAAGTCGGTTTTGTTTTTTGTTAGTAAAAAAATGGTTATTATAAATATACGAAACTACTTCGAGTTCAATATACACTTAAGTTAACTGGTTTACTCTCTACTCTAGTAAAATTAAACTTAAGATTATTTAATTTTAAATTAGGTGTATAGTTCAATAAAAATTATAAACTTGTTAAAAAAACTGGGCCTTAATAATCAATTAATTTTGAGCAAAATAAAGTTTTAGATTAGAACTTTTTCATTTCACGGTTTGCATTTTCAATATAAGTTTCACCGTTTACATTCGATTATAAAATATTGAAAGCCATTTATTTCAAGGTTTTTAATAATTTATTATGCAAAAGTTAGCTAAATTTAGATAAAAGAAATATTAGTATAACCATGAATTTGTGCGTGTTCTTCTCATGTGTAATAATGGTAACAATTTACTTACAATTTTATTATGCTGTTATTAAAGTTAGCTTTAAATGCGATGATATTAAGAGATATTTAAATAAGATTATTCATTTCTAATTATGAACTGAAAAACTATGCTATAAATTATTGATACTGCCGTATTTTCTACGAAAGTAACTTCACTTCAGAATAATAAGTTATGTCTATTATTGTTTTCAACCAAAGTCAATATTGCTTTAATTATTTACAGCACTTTAAAATGGTTTCTAGTATTCATAGAGATGGACACAATACGAAACAAATCTTATTCATTCTTAAGGTAAGATAAAAGGTATATAAATACCAAAACTTGTTTGTGTAAATTAGACTTATTCTAAACTTTTATACACAAATACCAATGGTTAACTAAGTTGAACATAGGTTCTATGTAGATAGAACAAGAGGCAAGTAATACTGTGGTTTTATCATTATATAATTAAATTTATCTCCATACTTTGACGAAAGTATATTAAAATAAAATAAAAAATAATATTTCCATACATCTTCTCTTCGTAACGTATTGTTTCATAACACCCCCTTTTTAAAGGTGATTGATTATTAAAAGCCCCATTATTTTTTATTACCCCAATTGCTTGCACATTTCACATTTTTAATAAAAGATGCAGATTTCATTTTATGTTTCTACCAGTCTATACATAGTCAGTAAATACCACTAGACTGCTAACTTGGCCCAGCGCGTATGTAGTAAGTTTTTCAGTAAAGGCAAAAGTGGATAATAAATTACATGGTTACGTCCATACATACTTTATTATTATACATTTATTGTTTCAAAACATTTTCTCATATTTTTACACATTGTAAATGAATTTAAGTGCATTTCTTATAAATATACACAACTCCAATCGTTGGCTCTGATAAAATGACTAAAACATGATGGACTTAAATTTAGCGCAGAACCTAAAAGTGCTTATATTTTGACACAGAATTTAGCATTCTGTCAGGTTGCTTTCATGCCTAGGCTTTTTACTTTAAATTAAAGTACCTGGAGGACGGAGCTTCTCTCCGTTTTTTTTGTAAATAATGTATTTTGGAAATAAAAAATAATGAATTTGATCTGAAAAAACTAAAAAGAAATAAGTGTGTAAAATGATCGTGATACGAACCGCGGTCGTCTGTATTGGGGCCGCCCGATTACCGACCGAGCTATTATAACATTTTTTTTTGCGGCGAAATTACTGTCATATTCGAATGATATTTTTCATTCCCTGAGAACAGAGATAAAAGGACATTTTCTAAAAATGAAACCTAGCTGGAGCGATTTTTGGCCCCCGAATCTACGCACATACAATATTTCATGAAAATCGCTGGAGCCGTTTCCGAGATTCCGATTATATATATATATATATATATATATATATATATACAAGAATTGCTCGTTTAAAGGATAAAAAAAATATATAACAGTAAAGTATAACACATGTATACAGAAATAACTTGAGATATCGAGCATTGAATTTATTTTTTATTCCAACAATAACCGCAACCACTTATTCATATACGGTTTCCTAATAAGTATTTTATTAAGAAACCGTGTATGAATAACAATTCACGTATACGTTTTCTGTAAGAGAAAACTTAACAAGTTAGAGGAAACATTGAAACTTTTGCATAGCTTCAAAATGATCCCTCGAACACATAACGTAATCTAAACAAAGTTCAAGAAACATGAACCTTGTTTGCCCGAAAGCTTTGTTGCAGTATGGAAATCTCGGAGCTGGTGTTATCTCACCAGACAACGTAATATAAGTTTGTCGTTCCACGACTGTTTGCACTGGGTCACTCGGTAACTGCTATGCGAATTATTATATTCTATAATATTATACTAGCCCGCGACTTCGTCCGCGTGGAATTTTAAATAAAAAAAATCTAAACTAAAAGTTACATCAGCTATCTGCCAGTGAAAATCCCGTCCAAATCGGTCCAGTCGTTTCAGAGATTAGCCGTTACAAACAGACAGACAGACAGACAAAAATTGTAAAAAAAAATAATTTGGTATACGTACCGTGTATACATCCATATGCATTTTGAAAAAAGCGGTTATTTTAATGTTACAAACAGACACTCAAATTTTTATTTATCTGTGTAGATGTGGGCTATGTGAATTATTAATATCGCCACTAAGAGTACACATTACTTATCCGTTTTAGTACTCGTATAGAAACACATAAAGGACATAACTAAACTATTTGGTTTAACTAAAAATATGTTATATTTAAAAATGTGTGTAGCATGTGTGTTAGTGATTTTCAATTAGCATGCATTACAAGCAATTAACAGATAACAAAGACGATAACAGGATAGTTTAATACAAACGCTTATATTTCTTCTGTCTGTCGGACATATAGGACCTATAGGCGCTCGGGTACTGTTGCACTGCAATATCTCAGTAGCTTTTCCGCACAGACGTAGGTTATAACTCACCAGAGTAATGCAACTATACACGGCCAATAACAAGTATAATATAATTTAAAAAACTGAAAAACTCAACTTTTTTTTATTTTTTGTTATTTTGACATTTTGATATACCCAGTGTCACTCTCACAGTAATGACACCTCTGAAATAAAATCCATCAAGCCGTTCAGGTTGCAGAGCGTGCCAAACAATTATAAATACATAGTACATACATACATTCTCTCGAAAATATCAGGGTGATGTTTTCGAGAGTATGTAGTACCTTCTGGTGCAGACGGGTAAAAATGAGATAAAACTAAGGTTTTACTGTAAGGGTTTTTGATTTTTCATATCATATTTTTATACATCGAAAACTGGACCATCGTCGAGTACAGGGCCCAAGAAAAGGTATGTTCTATAAAGCACTGAAAGGTTACTGTCATAAATGCGAGTGCGGTGACTTCGGGCTGTGTAAAAAGTAAAAAGTAAAGTATCAGCCTATACATGTACCACTGCTGGGCAAAGGCCTCCTCTGTACAGAGGGTAACAGGACATAGCCTACCATATTAGGGCTGTGTCGAGAGCCACTATCACCAGTTCCGCCACCACATCCATTCCGCCCAGAGAGGAATGACGACGAATTATAACGATACAAATTAATAAATTAAAAAAAATAATAAGATCAGTACTTAAAATATATTGCTGTTATTTGGCACGGGAGTGAGTCTTTTCTAAGTAGTAAAAGTGATTGAAATATTCAGTTTGCCTATAGTCTCTTACGCATACATGACCTTCGCATCAAGCCAGTTAATACAAACTACAATTAATACAAAATAAATTCATAACACCAGTTCTTCCTGTACCTAGTCGAGGAAGTGGACATTTCAGACGCCACAGTACAAGTAATAAGAAAGTCTATAGGTTATTTCAGCTCTTCGCAGATGTTGAAATTTATAGAGATAAATGAAATTCAGATAACGAAATTGCAAGTAGTTTTGAAAGTTATTTTTCAGAAATTGCAATTAATGTTACATGCACGTTAAAATCCTCTCCCATTGATGCAATTAATGTATTAAAAAATAATGTTACCTATTGTCGACAAACGTTTAAATTTAATCACATAGATACTAATGATATTATAAAAGTTTTGAATTCTATTAATCTTAAAAATACAGGAGATTTGTGGGGCATGTCCATAAAATTAATGAGTACAATAATGCCGTATATTGCACCATATTTGGCAAATATTTTTAACAAATGTATAGATTCTGGAATATTTCCAGATCTTATGAAATTCAGTAAGATAATCCCCGTTTTCAAAAGTGGGGATAAAAATGATCCAGGAAATTACAGACCTATCTCCATATTGCCATCTCTGAGTAAAATTTTTGAAAAACTAATTTTAAATCAACTCTTAGCACATTTTAATATGAACAAAATTTTCCACAATGAGCAATATGGATTCACTAAAGGCAGATCGACAACGGATGCGGGTGTCGCACTTGTCAAGCATATTTATAACGCCTGGGAAAGGTCACAAGATGCAATAGGTGTCTTTTGCGACCTTTCAAAGGCTTTCGACTGTGTAGACCACGAAACCCTCCTTCAAAAGTTAGATTATTATGGCATTCGTGACATCGCCCTCAATCTCATTGCCTCTTACCTTAATAATAGAATTCAAAAAGTATCTATAAATGATGTAAATTCCACAGGGTCCCCCATGAAAATGGGTGTCCCACAAGGATCAATCTTGGGTCCATTATTATTCTTAGTGTATATAAATGATCTCCCCTTTTATGCCAGTGAGTTATGTGATATTGTACTGTTTGCTGACGACACATCGCTCATTTTTAAGGTTGACCGAAACGTGTCGGATTATGACGACGTGAATAGTGCACTTTCGCGTATCCTCCACTGGTTTACCGTTAATAATATGGTGTTAAATGCTAAAAAAACTAAATGCCTTCTTTTTACCCTTCCCAGCGTAAGAAGGCGAAGTTTTAGCTTAACACTAAATAGCGTAACCCTTAATCCTGTTGAGTCCGCTGTATTCTTGGGAATTACAGTGGATTCAAAGCTCCAATGGAGTCCCCATCTATCATCTCTTGCGAACAGGTTAAGCTCCGCTGTTTTTGCAGTTAGGAAGGTTAGGCAGCTATCAGACATCGACACTGCCAGACTTGTTTATTTCAGTTATTTCCACAGCATCTTGTCTTACGGCATTTTGTTGTGGGGTAGTGCATCTGATATAAATTCTATATTTATTCTTCAAAAAAGAGCTGTCCGAGCAATCTATAACATCGGAGCCCGGAATACACTCAGAGACCTTTTTAAAGAGATTAATATACTCACTGTTGCGTCTCAATATATTTATTGTAACATTTTGTATGTTAAAAATAATATTAATAGTTATCTAAAGAATAGTGACAGACATAAACTAAATACTAGAAATAAGGACAAACTAACTACGCCATTGTTTCGTTTACAAAAAGTAAACAGGTCGTTCATGGGGCAAGGTGTGCGCATGTATAATAAAATCCCACAGTCGATATTAAGTCTGCCACTTGATGAATTTAAACGAAAAATTAAAAGTAAACTTATGGCTAAAGCCTATTATTCTATTGCTGAATATCTTGACGACGCCAATGTGTGGGGTTAATACTGTTGATACTCACGTAGGCTAAAACAAGACTATTGTACATGTACTATTATATTGTAAACTGATTTTTTTTTTAAAAAGAGCAACTGTTGAGTTTCTTGCCGGTTTCTTCTCAACAGAAACTGCTTTCCGAACCGGTGGTAACTTACGAACGTGTTCATTTCTTGTAAAATTTTGACGTTTCATAAGAACGCGCAAGCGTCTATGTGAATAAAGATATTTTTATTTAAAAAAAAAAAAAAAAATTGGAGTGTCTGTTTGTAATATTAGAATAACTGCTTTTTACTAAATGCACATGGATGTAAACACGGTACATATACCAAAATGTAATAAGGAGTAACGTAGGCTACTTTTATTTTAGATTTTTCTTTATTTAAAATTCCACGCGGACGAAGTCGGTGGCACAGCTAGTTAATAATGAATTGCATTATCTTTATACAATTATAATTCTTCTGTGCGTGTGCATGTTAGTGAACTCCTCCTAAACGGCTGGATCGATTTTAATGAATTTTTTGTGTCGTCAAGTCGATTCGACAATGGTTTAGATTCACATTTTTATGTATGACATATTAAGTATTCGGATTTAAGTCGTTTGTAAAGAACAAGGGGCTGTCCGGTCCGCTAGTATTAATATATTGTGGCCAGTGGCTTAGACAGATTTCGTGCCAGACTAACGCGGCAGCTGTTTTGCGCTCGGGGAATCAACAGTCGCTTTTAATTCAATGAAATCCTTCTATCTACAGAGGCGCTCGCAGCTCTAGCGTCGAGTTATAGTCTTGAAACAATACACTGAGTGCAAACTGACAAAATCTTTACTATTACGTTGACGCTCTTCAACATAAGCACCATGTAAGATTGTGCGAAATATATGGGAAAAGGCTCTCTCTCTTTGCTCTTCTTCTCTCATTGCTCTTCATTTAATTACCATTAATTAGTATCCCGTAGCGACGAAAACTTTTCGTCCATTTTTTCTACAAATTTTAATTTAATGTTTTTAGTAAAAATAATTTTTGTTGTTTTGTTTCCTAGTGGGTTTAGAAGACGTTAAGGAGCTAGACCAGTCACAAAAATAACTTTGGTCAGAATTATAAATCATATTTTGCTAAGCTCCATGACGTTAACTATATTAAATATTCAATACACATATTAATTTATTATGAATTATTTTTACGTTTTATATTATTTAAAAATTAACACAATTTGCTTTACAGACGCCATCTGTGTACATTAATAAGATATTTTTATTTGTACCAAAATGTTGTTTGTAAAGACACTTTAGTTGTGTAAAATAGGCAAACCGATGACGCTGCGTTTTTAAATTTTGCTGTTAAATTTGACAGTGGCTCAACAACTTAGAAAAATCTATCACGACCGATTTTGATACAGCTTTGTGAGATTGATTCGCTGTCAAAAACTTTGAACTTAGATGAAATGGCTCCCTATGGTGATAGATGTTTTTAATCCATTCCACTTACCTATATATAGTAAATTAAAAGACGTAAAAATGTCGTCAAAGGTGTTACCATAAAAGCGATCATTTTCCGTTACTGAAAACTTATACGCAAATAAGCAATGTAGAGAACGACTCGCTAAAAAAGTGCTGTCCATAAGATCTTTGACGATGAAGCCGACAATTTCATTTTCATAACAATCATTCATAAATCTCGTGTTATATTCCCGAAGAAAGCTTACGAAGTCTACCGAAATACTTTGACAGTTGAAAGAGAAGTATAATTTTTTTTCTACATCAACTTGAGTGCATAATATGATCCTCATTTTAGCACCTAAATCATGGAATCTTAATCGGCTTGCACTATAATTTTTCCGATACTTACTTAATTTTGCAGGCAACAATATCCTATTGAAAATTTCTGTAATCTCCTTAGGTGGAAGCAAGTTTCAAAAATTCAAATATAATTTTATTACTAAAAATATATTTGAGCACATCAAATATTTCTTGCATCAGTAAATTTGTATAATTGTATGATTTTTGCTTTTTCTATATAATATTTTTTTTTAACTGAAACTATTTCGTATTTTATAGTGTTTTACGAGTAATTCGATTTCAAATTACGTTTCTAACCCTTTCTAGCGTTGATAGTCACGGGACAGATTAAGTTGTTTCAAGTCTTAATCTTAGTTTATCTGGGCTACTGTCTATTAATGTAATATTTATGTTATTCCAATCTATGCAAAAGGAGCTTATGGTATCTTATTGTCTAACAGTGTGTTAATGTTATAAATGATGGGATCCCAAGCTGATGAGACACCTCAACCATTTTCTCTATTGACATTGGAATTTTTCTTAATACATGTTCTTTAGGCATGTTGTTCTCCTTAAGCTTAATTAGTCTTCTTAAGGTAAGCATGCAAATAACGACTGTATGCCAAATCTAACCATATTTTCAAGATGCAAGGTCTAGGTGGTCAATCTAATTTATAAAATGCTTCTTTAATGTACGCCTTTGTATGTCCTTTCAGTGGTAAACGTATCTTAACAAAATGTTCAACCAGCTTATGAGTTAGTGTTCTAAATGAAGATTGAAAGTAATATGCATTTTCTTACATAAAATGGAAGTTTTTCAAAAATTATTGATTTTTTTATTGATTATTATATCATGCTTAGTTAATATAAAGCACAAAATATTGATATATAAGGAGTTTTCCTCCATGTAGACGAAATTTAAAAAGGTGTTAGGAATAAATCGGAATGGACATTTGGAATGGAAATTATCTAAAAGTCGTACCTGTGACCTGTTAAATGTCGTGTCCTATTATGTTTTAGCTTTAACTTTGAAGTTAGTAACATGAAACAGGTGAGAGTACTGATGGAATTCTCTTAACTCAATTTAGAATTCGTGCGACGAAACCCACTAACATTGTTACAGAGAAGCAAACACATAAATTACTGCTGACAAATACAAAAGCTTTCGTGTTTTCTAAGTCGAACAGTGTAGGCAGCCTTATGTTAACCACGCCTTTACTGATTTATTAAGGCCTAAATCATAAAAATAATTTTGGCACGTGATAAGTTCTAAACGAAATATCATTAGAGCTACATCGAAAATTAAATTGCCGGCAACTGATTGCTAGTAAACTAATAAGTATTAAGATTATAACACAGACTAAATTGTTTCAAATTCTAATATTACAAATGAAACTAATTTTACGGATTTATCACGGTCAGTCTGTCCCGTGACCATGAACGCTGTAAAGGGTTCGAAACGTCGGGAATTAAAATTAAAAATAAACGCGATAAATCCGTAAAATTAGTTTCATCTAATATTACAGTTAACAAGGGCTATAACATTTTTTTTTGTTATAGCATTTTTTATAAAAACAATTATAATACAATATATAATATGATATTGTAATAATTGATAGAGAAGGTTGAACTCTGATGAAGATATCTTAGAAAGTCCGAAGAAAGTTGAAAATCTGCCAAAAGCTGAACGAATCCTGCCCGGACACACTCTAATAAAACCATCGCTCGGAATGCTTAAATCTGCAGCGAAATACCCACAAGCAGGTCTCAGTAACTTGGTCTACGGAAATCTAAATAACCTGGGTATCACGTAAGTATATTCATGTATTAATAAGTTATATACGGATAAGTTATCAACAAAAGATAGTCATCATATCATATCTGGCTCAATTAAGTTAACATCACTATCTTCAAAGGACGAAATAAATTCTTTGCTCTGTTTAAAAGAATGAAGAAACATATCTTACTATTGGTGTCTCGAATTTTAATCTTTGTAGAGGTGATATGTGTTGGCAGCATAAAAATAAAAAAAAATAATTTACAGTTCAAAAAACAGTACGGTTGTCAACGATTAGTTCTGTTCAAATCCTTTGTCCTAATAGTGTTCAACACAGACAAAGGTATTTATTATTTGTGAAAGCTTTTATAAAATAGTAACATGACGGAATTTAATGGTATCTAATAATATATACCATTAAATTCCGTCACAATTAGATAAAACGAGTATAAACTCGTTTTATCTAATTGTATTATATTTTGGTTTCCTGGATAGCAGTAGAGAAAATTTACAGAAACTTAATTTTTGTAACTTTGCGTGAACGAACAAGTTGGTGTTAAATGTAATACATTTTATTATTATATAGGTATGGAAAAACAAATGAGCGCATTCTCTATACAGGCTTCAGGAAGTCCAATGAAATGCTGGTATACCACTTTTGCTTACTGTTGGTTATTTGAACATAAGACATTTTATTTAACTACAGTTCTTTTTCAGAGTGCGTTGCTTAAGTCAATTTTATCGAGCAACGGGTAAGTTGTACCGACATTCATAATAGGCAGAATAAAAAGAAATTTGTGGAAGGAATTATGGCATCAGAAATAAATATTAACTTCTTTATTGAGCCTTGCAAATTTATTCGGTATTATAATATATTATAGTATTTACATACATTAAAAACATTCCAAATCTTTAAATCCTTAAATTAAATTTCAGAAATGCTAAAGTGGTATGTATGAATAACGCGTCACGCGTTAATAAGTTAAGTGCGTATTCATTTATCACTCACTATTCATTCATTTTCTCCCGAAGTAAAATTAAAATTTAGAATGAATAGACATGATTTTTTGAATTGTTATAATAATATAACAATTAAAACCATTTATCTTAAAATTGTTCCAGTACATACTAAAGGACAAGCCATTACCACTAAATAAAGACCTGTAAGTATCTATTAGGAATGTAATATAATATGTCCTAAAAGCTTACGTGAATAAGAAAATGTAATTTATGTATGAAGAAGACCTTTTTTTTTTGTGTTAAGATCATTCTTATTATTGATAACAATGATGTTATCATTACTTGTGGTGTTAAATTCTAGGTTTTTTTTATCATTGCGATCTCTATTTAGCTCTGACTTTATTTCCTCCGAAGATTTTCTGTGTTTACCTTTTTTGAATACTTGCTGACTGCATTCAGTGGAATGTTATTAATTTTATTTCAGACGAATGTATTTCAATATGTTCATTGAGATATTGATTTCTTTTTTGCTGTAGTCTCATGTTGTTGGAGATGTGTATCTTGAGAAGCTGATTCATCTTTTGTATAACCGTACCTTTAAAGGGGTCGTTATCTTAAACCCTTTTATAGATATTACTTCCAAGATATTTTTATTTGTTATGTTAATGCTTTGACTTTTTTACAGTGATCAATGTTTTTGTAAATTTTTTTTCATCACAGATTTTGCATGCTCATTCCTGAGTGAGTATGAGAGTGGATTTGTAATTGCATAGTTGGCGATTTTCTCTCTTTATTTCGTTTCCCACATGTTACGCCCTTATTTGTTAAGGGAAATCAATTATTCCCCTTCCAAAAATTGGAGTAGCTTTAGCCGCCAAGGAATCAATTTTCCACTATGAAGTCTAAGCTGTAATGTAAATGTCACGACTCACCGCTTCGAATCAATCCTCACACAGCACCAATAAGATTTAACATAAAACCATTGAGGGAATCCTAGTGTTTCTATAAATGTTCCCCGTTCTGGCAGTCCGATCGCATATTCCGGCAGGGTTTTAACAGGCACAAGGACTCTGTCAGCACGTTCTGTATCTGATGATGCTTTAAATTAAAGTAAAAGTAAAGTAAGAGCCCTATACATATCACTCTTCTGGGCAAAAGCCTCCTCCATATAGAGAGAATTAGGGCATAGTCAAAGTCAAAGTCAAAGACAAATATCTTTTTTCAATATAGAAGTATACACTTACTCATTGATAGTCAAAAAACTCTACCACCGGTTCGGAAGGAAAGCTACTGACCTGAGAAGAACCGGCGTAAGAAACTCAGCGGGACATTTTTTTTACTTGCCAAAAAAATTACAAATATGTGTACAATTTATTAAATTCCACTTGAAAGAGCCTGGAGCGATCAAATCATTTCCAGACTGTGTTGTCATTCAAATAATCACTAATACTATAATAACCATTAACACACAAACGTTCCTTTACAAGTTTTTTGAATTTAGAAACGGATTCATTTTGAACTTTTTCTGGGATTATGTTGTAAAAGCTTATACATTGTCCCATAAAAGATTTACTTATTCTACGCAATCTAGTTGAGGGTAGAACTAATTTATGCTTGTTCCTAGTATTTACATCATGCACATTACTAAATCTTGAAAAGTCATTCTTATTTTTGTGGACATACATTTGCAAGTATGTACTGAGAAGCTACAGTCAATATTTTTATTTCTTTAAACAAGTTTCTTAGTGAATCTGGGAGCCCAGGTTATAAACCGCTCGAATAGCTCTCTTTTGCAGGATGAAGATAGTTTTTATGTCGGCTGCATTTCCCCAAAGTCGAATGCCATAAGACATTATACTGCGGAAATAGCTAAAATATACCAGACGAGCCGTATCCACATCAGTCAACTGTCTAATTTTTATGACTGCGAAGACTGCTGAGCTAAGTCTACTCGACAGTTTATTAATAACCCCCACTGCAATTTGGCATCTACAGTTATGCCAAGAAATACAGTCGAGTCAATTAAGTCTAACGCTTCCCCATGTAAAAGTACATCAGTTTTGACACGGTTTACGTTGGGAGCTGTAAATTTAATACATTTCGTTTTTTTACTATTCAACATTAAGTTGTTAGCTCTAAACCAATGTACTACAGTGGAGAGAGTATTGTTAACATCGTCATAAAGAATGTCGTTTAACTTTAAAAATTAAAGAAGTATCATCAGCAAACAATACTATCTCATGATTATTATTAACAAGATAGGGCAGGTCATTTATGTAGATGAGGAAGATAAAAGGTCCCAGAATAGATCCCTGTGGAACCCCCATACTTACCAGGGCCCCGCGAGATCTCTTGCCGTTCACGTCAACTCTCTGAACACTGAAGATTGAGTGCGGCATCTCTTATACCATAGTGGTGTAGTTTCCTGACCAGAGTGTCATGCTGTACACATTCAAATGCTTTGGTTAAGTCACAGAATATACCTAAGGCATCCTGTGACTCTTCCCAGGCTTCAAAAATATTCTTAACAAGCTGGATACCCGCATCTGTTGTTGAGCGACCCTTAGTAAACAATTTATGTGTACTAAAATGGAGTAATATTTGATTCAAAATATGTTTTTCAAAAATTTTACTAAGAGTTGGTAGTACTGAAATAGGTCTAAAATTGCTGGGGTCAGAAGTACTACCAGATTTGAACACCGGAATGATCTTACTATGTTTCATAAGGTCAGGAAACTCGCCACGTTGAATACAAATATTAAAAATAGTTGCTAAGTAAGGTGAAACTACATCAATTATAGAACTGATCACCTTGACAGAGATCCCCATAGATCAGCAGTTCTTTTAAAATCTAGAGAGATAGTCCACCACGCGACCCCACTGCCGATTAGCAGACTTCACTTATCTTCGAAATATTTTTTTTGTAATTTTTCCGAACATATGTAGGTTTCCTCATGATAGTTTTCAAAACCGCTGTACACGTGATGATGCCTTGTTCATAAAAACCTTTTGTGAAAACTTTATCCGGCAGAAAAAAGACAAAGACGGTTCAGTGAAGTAGTTTTCAATTTTGGCGTCTCACTGAAGGAATTTTAAACGGAATTAAGACAAACCAATCTCGTCTCAATTACATTTTCGATTGTGATTGAGGCAAATTATAAATTTGTTTCACTTTTCTCAGAACTTCAGTTTCTGCTTTGGTTTAATTAATGTAAAAGTTATTTAAATACCTGTTCAATTTCGGTTCTGTGAGTGAAATGGACTTGATTTTAACTTATGTTGAATCTGTACTTAATTCCACTGAATGTGATATTTTGGACAGTTTAAGTGTATGAAAGCATATGGTTAAAATCGGCATACTAATGAAAAAAAGGTTTTAAAGATGGCCAATAAACCATTTTGTCAACGACCATGATATAATTTACATGATGTCTCAACGAATAGTTGATGATACAATTATTTTAAAGTTTTGTTCAACGCAGATGTTTGAACAAAAATTTTTAGACAATGTTGACTAATCCGTTGATGTGATGCAAATCAAAACTTTAATTTGTAATAAAAATTATAAGCGCTGATACCCAGATTATAACTATGGTTGTTTTTAGAATATGGTGGAAAAAATAGCACCTGGCTACTAAGATATTACGACTCCTATATATAACGCAGTGAATATCGCAAGATGTAAACACGTCGTCAAAGAATTTTCGCACCCAGATCTGGCCACAGAAATCACCTGCATTGAACACATTTGTCTGGCAAAATGCCATTTTTTATAGAGCCCTGCCAAGCTGCATACTAAATTTCACCGTTTTAAAGGAAATTCAGTCACGTTAGATAACCGTTCTTCTTGCTCGTTACCTTGAGTCTACGTTTTATCAAAATTTGAGATGTAGGCACGAGTCTAAGTACGAATATCCTAACGTCAATAATTAATTTCTTGTATTTACGCCATTACACATTATAAATGAAACTAATTTTACGGATTTATCGCACATTTTTAACACAAAATTAATAATTCAAAAACTGACGGTAGCCCGGGATATCTATGACAATCAGACGTCTAACGCCTCAGTCTGTCCCGTGACCATAAACGCTGTAAAGGGTTCGAAACCTCGGGAATTAAAATTAAAAATAAGTTTCATTTAATAATTAAGTAAATTCCTTCAATTTATAGCGGGCCTTACTACGAGACTAAGCACGCTATTCGGAATATGAAAGTCATTATCATGCATAATTCTTCATACATAAATATAATATTTGAAATTTTGTTAAAAATTACTCATTCACGAGTAATTTTAATTCAACTAACTGAAAAAGAAATTATTTTAAGTTCACCTGGTACTCTACAGAGGTGGCTAAAGTCAGCTGGGGTTTGAAAGCTATGTAGTAAGCAGCTATTTTCTTTCAACGACACATAAATACGTTCGTATAACAATGTCGTATATACGAGTATATACAATTTATGAAGAGTGTCATTAATTCATCAACGAATAGTTTCATAAAAAAAACTATGTCGATTACAGTTTTAATAGAACGGTGAACGACCAGTCGTAAATTATGCTGGATATCCGTTTATTTCGAGCATCGGTTAAACGAATCTTTTAAAACGGAACTAAATCTCTTTGAATGTAGGTAATATCCGGTGCAGCGCGGTGCTTTTCGCAGATATTAATTCACATTTCTCAAACACGTTTAGTAACCGATTTGGTCGCTTCTCAAAATAAAATAAAAGTTCCTCGAGGAAATATGCACATCTATGGAATTAGTAAAAAAAATCGTAGGCGTCCAGTCAACTCGTCATCTCACTTGGCGGACTAGGACCGACATCCTGTTCATGCAAAGGATCGCTTTGCCCAACAATGGATATATGGCTGTAGGATACTTTACCTGAGAATCGTAAATAACATTCCCAAATTGGGTTTGCATCTTAATCGAGATGATTTTAAGTTAATCGTATAATTATTTACGATTATACGAAATTATAGGAGTATAGGACAACCGCAATTTATTCATTTAAATATAGCATTAATTATTATTAATGTAATATATATAATTATAAATTATCCAGCGGAATACAATGGGATGTAAGAGAAAAACTCATTCCATTATATTTGCATTTTTTTTACAGCATCTACTCGTCGGATCCCTCGAGCGATGTTAGCGTAAGACATTTATTTTTGTATAAAAATAAGATTTTCGCGTTTCGTGTTCCCTCCAGAGAAGTTTTAGTTTTTAAACAAGTGTTTTATAAAAAAAAAATATTGATACTATAAAAATATTCTGTTAATCATAATCATCATCATTTCAACCTGTTTGAGTCCACTGCAGAACATAGGCCTCCCCCATAGATTGCCACGAAGTACGATCCTGAGCCACCTGCATTCATCGACTTCCCGCACACTTGCATAGGTCACTGCATCTAGCGGGGGTCGTCATACACTTCGATGGCCGGTTATATATACTGTTACAGAGATTTTAATATACTTTTGAGGGGAATTAATTCGTAGCATTTTTTACTCCAAAAAAATTATATATTTAATGAATAAATTATTCAATTAAGGATAACTCCTCGTCTTTCGATGAAATCGAAGAATCGACTCATTTTCGGTAATATTTATAGGAAACACATTTCTAATCAGCCAACTCATGATCCAAATCCAACCAGTGGTTAATTAAAGCCATGTCTGGAGTATATGATGGGTGAGGTACAGTTGGTAAATGGCGGTATTCACTTCAGTGTTACGTGCGGAATTGTATGCATTTCGTACGCGTATTACGTGCATTTTCGTACAGAAAAATGTGCTTGTCATGTATTTCACTATATACTAAATTACAGTAGATTTTTAATGCGTAATGCGTTTTGCGCGTAATGACATTTTTAAGGCTCAAACGACTCAATTGTGATTTGTAGCCATTCCCAATAATAATTTCATAAGTTGCAGCAGTTCACAATAACACCGCTCACAACAATCGCACCCTTCGTCCTGATGTCGATAATTGTAGTTCAAAAAATCAAAAGTCCAAAATCACAGGTTTAAAATTTTTTATGAATTACGGAGTGTTCTTGAAAACGTAAAAAAATAATGGCGATTACACCTAATGACAGCTGGTAAACAATAAATATATTACTGACGGTATGATCGGAATAATTAATGCCATATTATGTAAAACGCTAGGAATTAATTCCAACTCATTAATAATATTTTTCAAAAAATAGAAAAGGTAATATTACAAATGTTATAATCAAAGTAATAATTCTGGACAGAATGTATACTATCTATTCGTTGTACATAAGATCCACCGAATAGAGATGGAATCAAAATACTGTAAAAATATACACCTACTCAATATTTACCTACTCAGTATATCACCGCGAAAACTTTTTGCTGAAAATATTGCTTACATTTTATCAGAATATTAGGTTTTCCATCATATTTCAGGGTTTACCTCTTTTTTTTCGATCACGTCCTATTTCATCGTAATTTCGCTTAAAATTTGATTGGACTGTAGACGATATTGAATATATGAAATTATGGTTTTGTGTTTCCGTCATAGAAATCACTATTTCTTTGTTACCTTCTAAAAATGTTTCTTTCTCCTGTCCTGATTTATGCTATATCTGTAGAGAAGGACTCTCTTCGGGAATAAACTTCAGATAAAGATTCTGAATGATTATCTGTGGATCACGCAAATACTTATACTATGTGCGAAATAGTTCCAAAACAAGTCACTAAATCACTAAAGGCAAGTAAAGAAGTACTCTGAAGAAACTTTTTCTGTTGGGAACAAACAAACATGGCTTGTAGGCTGTGGTCTCTTATCCTCAGACGCTTCCGGCTCTTATACGGAACATATACAAACCATACTTAAATTTAAATTGGTCCAAAAGGAACCTGACTACCGACGTCGCCGTCACAAAAAGTCAAAATCAAAGTATAGGAAGCGAGACAAATACTACAATGGCGATAGTAGTTACTCCACAGAGGATACCGATACCGATAGCGAATCAAGCGAGTACGAAAAGAATCCCGGCAACCCATACACTATTCACAAGAATCGATACAAACAAAATTGGATGTGGAACCACGTGGTAAGTATGTCATGCCATTTGTGTTAACTCATCAAAATTACTTACATCTCGCCATAACTAAATTTACAGTATAATACAGTATAATACAGTAACTAAAGTTCTTGCACTTAGGGTGCAGAAACCTAATACCTAAATAGTGTTCTAATTACTCTCCCCAATAGCTCTCGCAAGCTATGCAAGACTTATCAGAACTCCGGTTATTTAAATCGAATTAGAGTGAAGTAGATACCAATACACGGAGCCGTGATAGCTCATTGTACGGGCGCTCGCTTTTAATTCAATATACTCCAGCAATCTGACTTCGATTCCCGTTGCTGGCACCTCTAAAATTGTTCGAAACTCAACAGTTTCTTGCTGGTCTTTTCTCAACAGAAACTGCCTTCCGAACCGGTGGTGAATTACTTACGAACTCATGTATTAATTATTTATGTAAAATTGGACGTTTCATAAAAACGCGAAAGCGTCTATTTGAGTAAAGATATTTGGAATTTGAATTTGAAAATTTATTTTACAAAAATAATACACAATCTAATGAAGAAAAAATGAAGTTTACTGAAAATAGTAGCAAAATAATATCCATCTATTAATGGATAAATCCTAATTAATAAGGTAATAAATACAAACAAAATAATCCGTGCATAAACAGGAAAATCAACTGAGTATTTGTTTAAGTCTCCAGTATAAATATTTCAAATATTTTGCTAAATTTGTTATTCGTTAATATGTATTGAAATATTAAAACTGATTTATTATTCAGTTTAAAAATTAATTGTGCCAAAAAACAATTGTAGATTTTTACATGATTAGGTTTACATTGATGATTAATAAATACATTATGTGAAGGTATGTGGTGTGTGTGTATCTGTTTTCTGGGTTTATATGTATTTATGAGTATTTTGTATATTATAAACTACATTTATAGTCTTCGAAACTGTGATGTGCTCCATTTCTCTTCAGATGACTGGAGATCACATGAATGTTAATCCATTTGCACCGGAGCTCAGTAAACACGGACCCTCTGGGGTAGATCTGCTGTTTGGTAGAAAATGGTGGTACTTCAACCAGGTAAAAATAATATATAATATAACCTTACATTAAAAGTGAAATAAGCAGTATTAAAATATTTATTTGATTTAATGAAGGTCTGATGTATGTTAACAAATTGAAATAACAAGTTCATAAATGCAAGCTTATGGTCCCACACTTTTTTATTTATAACCAATTTTAAAAAAATCATAGAATCAACGTCTAATATGTATACATATAATCTAACTGGCTGACGAAGTGATTGGTTTAATACATTCAGCCACAGCCACGAATTGACCTTTTAACTTAAGGGCCTTATATGTCTGGTTGTCTTATGTGCACGAATGCCGCAATAGCTTTACTAGTCATCGCATAGCATTAACAATTCAATGGGTTTCTTATTTTGTGTATTTTCAATTTCAGGACGACTTCAGACCATTTTAATGAGAGGGCCATGAAAATAAATAACTTTAGGAACCGATTTTTTTTTATTTCCTTTTCCCGAGCGAGTAAAAAACGCCCCTTTGGAAAAGAATCTCAGATTGCGAGGGTCGCTCATAAAATTTACACAATTTTCGAGAGGACTTAGAACTTTTAATGCTATTTGCAAGTCGAATTTAACTTTAAATTAAAGCGTGGGCGATGTAGGGCCCCTCGGGACCTGTAAATTAAGTGTCACGTTGTTTACTAAAAAGTCTTAACGGCTTAACTTTAAAAACGGTAGGAATCTCAAAACCTGTGTTAATTTCTTTATGCAACAGTATTCTAAAATAAATAACATGAAATTTCTGACTAGAAAGTTACGAAATTCGCACCAGCATTCAACAGTATAAAAATAATGACAAGGAGTTTAAAATTTCCAGAACATCCCTATTTACGAGCAGGTTTATAAAAAGTAAAAATGTATAACGTAAATGTATTTTCATATCTTTTTGCAAGCATGTGATATAGTGCAATTGCTACACTGCAGTGAAACTACCTACGTCATTTTTACTTTATTAAAGACTAGCGTTTCGCCCACGGCTTCGCTCGTGTTGAAGCTCTTAAATAAATATCTTTCGACATTTTACAACATTTTTTCCGTTTAAAAGAGCCTATGTCCTTTCTCAGGCTCTAGACTATCTGTGAACCAAATTTCATTTAAATCGGTTCAGTAGTTTTGGAGTGAAAGCGAGACAGACAGACAGAGTTACTTTCGCATTTATAATATTGGTATGGATATCTGATTTTGACTAAATATTAGAAAAAACATATGAAAAGTATTCCAAATGTATATGGAGGATTTTCTAAGTGTATCCATTCTTTTATTAAATTCTAGATATAAATAATGTCATATAAAAAATGATAAATATTTAAACGTTATCAATTAAATACATTCATTTGAAGTCATCTCAAAAAGTGCATGATTTATGGGCAACTCAATTTATTTTACGGGCTATCATTCATAACTAACACGCACACAAGTCATTTTCAAAAGTATACGAAGCATTTATGAATGACTATCGCATTGTCAACAAGTTCTGTTTTTTAGGGAATGGAATGGCAAATGGCATTTTTTTTTGAAAAAAAAAAAAAAAAACAAGTCAAAATTTGTTTTTATTTCAATAAACGATTACACTCCTGAGTCTGAACCTTCTGTGTGAATTTGGGCACCTTTAGAAATGCCACCCTGTATATGAACTACTTTCTGAAAAAAACCACTAGTCTCTCATTCACTTTGCTCTCATTCGTTTTGCGCTGAAAAATGCGTCGTAAAGATTTTATCACTCACGAAGCAGTTAAATTTGAATGAGGCATTCGATCTCCTAAAGGATGTATCATATGCAGTTTAATATGGTCATTTCGCTTAGCAGCTGTGCGGGCAAAATCATCTCCTATATCATAAAGATTTATTGGATTACCGCGAACTCTGCACTTTAAAAATACTGTTTTACTGATACTATTGTCTTAATTTCTTTTCTAATTTATTTATACCTTCGACATAGGGAACATATCACATCATCTACGCATACAGCACTTTAATCATTACAGGTTTTTTCTATATCCCATTCAAATATTTTGTTGAGTAATCTTTGTTATTATTTAATTTAGTAAGATACATTTCGGTCACATCGAATTGTTGAACGGACTATACATATATTCCTTCCAATATGTAAAAAAAACTAAATTATCCTGAATATGGAATGATTTAGTTTTTTAATATGTAAAAGAATCATATTCAATATAGACTTCAATTTATTCCAACGAGAAATTTCGTTAAGTGCAGAATGTCAAAATACAAAAAAACATTATAAACAGAAATGTGCGTTACATTAAAATTATTACATTTTTTATATTTTTATGGCCTGTTTTAAAGAGAATAGTATTTTATTAGAGAATAGTATAAACTGTTAAATTTATTATAGTAGCATTTCTCTCCGATTTATCTTAAAAGTATATCTGAGTCTGAAATAGGAAATTTGAAATAGAGCATTGGAAATTCAGTTTCACCATAAAACGTTACAATCAATGCTTCCGTAACTTTGGTAATAAATTATGCTATTATATAACAATAACGCCTTGGCCGTCTTCAAGCCAGATTTATTGTCTTTCGACAGTAATTGATTGGAGTGAATTTGACGTGGGTTGTTTGCAGCTGGAGAAGGAAAAATAAGTTACTGAAGCACAAAGGATGCTACTCGTAGAAGCTACTGTTATCAAAATAGCAACTTAACAACAGTTTGAAAGTGTTTTTCCAATAAGCTACTAACTAATTGAAATATTTAGATACTTTATTCCAACTTTCCATTGTATATATTATTACTATTTTAAATTGCGTAAATTTCTATAATTTAGTGGAAAAATAAAACTTGTTTTCTGTGCCTTGCGATAATTCTAATATATACTTTTACGGATTAATGATAACTAAATGAGACGTATAAATAATTAATAGCCACAATCATTTACAACTGAGTATAAAACTTACTTCTTTAAAAATTATATACAACCTAACAAATATAATGAAATTCTAAACTCGTAAGACTCTAAAACTCTTCAGTTATTTTACTCGAGCTGAAGTTACAAAAGAATGTCTCGTATAATTTTTGTACTATTTCAGTCCTAATGATTTAGACCAGTATTGAAATATACTAGCATTAATCTAATAATTAAATTTTATATTCATTAATTTTTTTTGAACTATAAAATGTATTCAAGTGTAAAACAGTTCTGTATTTGTATAGCTTAATCAGTAGTTTTGATAAAGTGACCCAGTAGTTAAATAAAATATATATCACCAACTTTGCTTTAATTAGATTTTTATAAGGAATCCTTGCGAAATGATGATTGATTATTTTTAAATCATTATGTATGGTACTTGATAATCGTATGCCATCGATTCATTGTCCTCACTCTTTAAGTAATAATTAAAAAGAAAAGAATTATACTTATGTAAAAAACTAATCATCTTAAATAATTCGTTATTAAAACTGAAATTGACCAATCTGAATATGACCGAGGGTCCTTTTCATAGGATCATACTTTAAAGTTAGTGCCTACATAATTTAAAATTTTAGTTAATAGAGATTATGATTTTATGAATAAATTTTGTATAAAATTATGCGGGTGAACTTTGAAGATCAAACGAGTAATAAAGGGTCTGCTTACCATGTCCTTGTGGGACGAGATAAGCAAATGACGTAAATGACATATAATGTCAAATATCATTTACGAAAAAATGAAATCGTAGTAACAGCACAATTAAAGGGAAAATTTCGGTTACTTATTACAAGTTTTCGCAAAAATCAAAATTTGTCCATTTTTTTTTTATCGTGTTCACATAGTCATTTATAAAATTTACCTTGATTTTTATACATGCATTAGGGACTATAGACATTAGTATCAGAATAAATTTCAACTTGCTAGGGATCATTACACCACGAAATAAATTTAATAAGAATTGATGGTCCATGCCTAGTGGTGGAAACAGTGCGCCTAGTAAGTGGTATGTTTGTCCTTGGATCTGCAAAGGTGTGTGAAATTGTATAATTATTTCTGATATAAAATAAAATTTATAAATGACAATTATTAATCGGTTAGTGCAAGTCACCAGGAAATTAAAGGAAGCCTCGCATAGGGATAACATTTCCCATAATATGAGGAAATGTAAGTCACTTGGGTTTCAAAAGACAGCTAATTAAGGGTTACGTCACAAATGTGGAATGTATGTAGCCCCTGGCCGAGCCAGAAGACATACATCATCCTGCGTTGTCATTTAATGTCGATGTAGGTTTTGTTGAGTCTAGTCTGCGTCCTGCCCCACGGATCGTACGTCAATTTCATAAAGCAAATTATGATTTAATTAATTTGGAACTTTCAACTATAAATTGGAGGGAAATTCTAAATCCCTATGATGTCGTTTCAGCAGTTCAAAACTTTTATAAAATTTTAAATGAAATAGTTAAGAATTTTGTTCCTCATAAAACAGTAAGACAAGCTGATAAGTTTCCTGTCTGGTACACACGAAATTTAATTAAATTAGTAAAAAAAAAAATTAAAGGCACATAAGCGATGGAAAGTCTATGGACGAGATAGTGATTATAAAATATTCTCTGATTTACGAAAGGATCTAAAAATACTTAAAAGTACTTATTACGAGGAATTTATTCGACGCTCAGAAAACAATATTTGCCATAACTCTAAAAACTTTTGGTCCTTTATCAAATCCAAAAAAAGTAATGGTCACATACCAGACACTGTTTATTTAGATAATGAATCCGCTTCAGATGGTTTATCAATATCAAATCTATTTAATTCATTTTTTAAGTCTGTCTTCGAGTCTGAATATGAAGTTAATAATTTCGATTAATTTAATCTTCAAGCAAATAATACAGTTTTGAGTAAGATAGAGGTTGAAGTGGAAGCAGTTGAAAAGTACCTATCTAGATTAGATACATCGAAAGGTTGTGGCCCAGATGGCTTACCACCAATTTTTCTAAAGAATTGTAATAAGCAGCTAGCTTATCCTCTAAGTTTGCTCTTCAACTTCTCACTATCGCAAGGGAATGTTCCAGCGTATTGGAAAAAGTCTCTTATCGTCCCTATTCACAAATGTGGCGATAAACAAAATGTAAGGAATTATCGTGGTATTTCCAAATTGTCGACAATTCCGAAGCTCTTTGAAAAGATTGTTTACGACACTTTATTTCCAGCTATAAAACCTTTACTAATTAAACAACAGCATGGCTTTATAAATGGTCGTTCAACTGAGACTAATTTGAATGAGTTCGTTGACATTCTTCTGGTAGCTATGGACAAGGGACTTCAGGTTGATGCTGTGTATACTGACTATTCCAAGGCATTCGATAAAATTTCCCACTCCCTGTTAATACGTAAACTTGGGATCATCGGTATACACGGCGATCTGCTGAGGTGGCTGACTTCGTACCTTCGAGATAGAACTCAGGCGGTTGCTATTAAGGGTCACATATCGAGTTTTGTTCCTATTACTTCTGGGGTTCCCCAGGGCTCTCATCTCGGACCACTGCTTTTTAACATCTTTATCAACGACGTGATTGATTGTTTCTCTAGCTCTGAGGTACTTTTGTATGCAGATGATACTAAAATATTTAAAGTCATTCGTACATATCAGGACTGTGTTAATTTACAAAAAGACTTAAACAAACTGTCAGACTACTGTTTACAAAACAAACTATTTTTGAACACTGATAAATGTTGTACGATAACCTTTTCCAGGAAAAAAACAGACTACATCCTTCAATTACTCGTTGTTTAATCACACTTTGAGAAGAGTGTCTGAGGTGAGAGATCTAGGGGTTCAAATTGATAGTGATCTGTCCTTTCTGTCCCACTTCGAAAATATCGCAAAACATGCATATAAGATGCTAGGGTTTGTCCTCAGACAGAGTGTGCACTTTAAAAAGCCAGCTACTTTAGTTGTACTTTATAATTCACTTGTGAGGTCTCAGTTGGATTACGCATCAACCGTATGGAATCCACATTATTCCTCACATATAAATGTAATAGAAAAGATTCAGTCTACTTTTGTCAGGCGGATGAAATACAATTTTGGTCCTGCTTTTACTTATAAATTAATTTCCCTTGAAAGGCGAAGAGAGTTAAGAGATCAAATGTTTCTTTTAAAATTAATTAAAAACTTTATTGAATCTCCCTATCTACTTTCAAATATTTCATTTAAGTGTCCCAAAGTCAACTCTCGTTCGAATGATCTGTTTTTATACCGTTATGTAACACGAACTACACAAAAAAACCGTTTTACTGTAAGAGTTTGTCGTAAGTATAACAAAAACTTCTATCGTATTGACATTTTTCGAGATAGTATAGAAAAATGTTTTGCCGCAATCAAAATGGAAATAAATATATAATCTGTAAATGTTGTTTTTCAAATAATTTAGGTTTTTAGTTTTGTATTTGTTTCTATTTTACTTATCTTTAACATTTTTCTTTTTAAATGTAAATGCCGTTAAAATAAGATATTATAATTGTGTTATAATTGTATACTTCTGATGCTAAGTGTATAATAGCTAGTGGTGAAAACTTTATTGGCCCACATATCAGTGTGTATTTTGTACTATTTATTTTATGTAAGTGCTGTTTGTTTTCCTAATCAATAAAAATAAAAAAAAAAATAAAAATGTATGGAAAGTGGATATATATTAATTCATTCATTCATTCATAAATATTCATTCAATTCCTACTATTAAAAGTGGTACCACGCAGCAGTCTTCGCTGTTAAACGAATAGGCAGGTCAGTTCGGGGATGTAACTCGTCTGGAAAGTGGCAATGCATTAGCAACGGCTACGGTTGTTGCAAATGTTCAAGGAGGCCGCGGAAATCACTTAACATCACGGGAATCACCAGCTCGCTTGCCATCTTCTTACGTTAACAAAGTACATAATCTTCACAAAAAAAAAACCATAGAATTAGAATTTACTAATAATAATTTGATATACCTATCAGAACGAATTGACAAGAAAATGCCAAAATTACTTTAGTATAAATAAATTGGCGTCTTTAACGACTACAATGACGAAAAGAGACCTTTCTCTAATTGTTAATTTAAGGCCACGTTAAGTAAATTTGTCCAGTGTCAAACATCTATAAGATGGCAGCAGGTAGTTTTAGGGCAGGTAGTTTTAGGCTGAAAGAATAAGTCAAAGTATTCATTTTTTGCGTTCCATAACTAAATCCTTTCTATGTTTAATAATTTACAAACGGTCTTCGTTTTTGTAGATAATACTTTTATGACAATGCATCTACTATTTTAAATACATTCGTAATGATCTAAAAGCAAGTAACTAACATAATTTTACGGATAGTTAACTCAAAATAGAAACTAATAATTTCACGCTTATCAACTACAACAATAACTACTTTTCAGATAATGTTATTGATTATTTGTTGCCGGTTTAAACTGAGTCTACACCATAAAATTTAAATGGCCTGTAAGAGCACGCAGATTCTCATATTTATTTTCACGATTGTAAGTTATCATTCATTTTTAAAAATCAGAAAGGTGAAAAAAATTGCAGTCAAACGTATTTAACATGCTAGTCATTTAACGGGCTTAATTCAACTGTAAACAAATAGATAACGAACTTTGCATGTTAATACTTACCAAAATTTTTCTTCCGTTTTGTTCTGTTCTCTAAATGCTATCATTTCTATATTAATTAACATGTGTGGTGTTTTGTAACTGACAGTATTTCTTAATGAGAGTCAACTCAGTTATAAACTTCATTTATTGTTGTTGAATGGTGAAAAGTCATTTAAATTTAGATTAATAACAGAATAACACCATAATAAATCTAAGAAAAAGGACATTACGTTAAAACAAAATAATGTGTTTTTAAATCTACCATTGGTAACAATTCTTAATTTATGCTACGCTTAAAGTTAAAGTTGATGATCATTATTTGTGCTTATTTAATGCTACATGGTTTCACACTGATAGCGGATTTCAAAGAAAATTGATTGTCGGTAGAAATCACTCCTTAGTTGAAACCAATTGTTTGTTAAAAATAATCACAAAATGCGAAAAAAAATCAAACTTATGCAATCAAACGCAAACGACATAAACGCAACACGAGTGTAAAGGCCCATTTACACGATGCCATTTTCTTGTACATACAAGAGCAATAATTGAATGCAATAAGTTGCACGCAATAATTGACCATCAAGAATTGTAAGCAACAGTTTACACGCCGATATAGTACAAAAAATTGAATACGATTATTGAATGCAAGTCTTGACAAGAAATAATTGCAAATGTCTTTTGTTTACACCAATGCAATTATGTTTAGGCGATTATTGCTTTAAAATTTTGACTTGTCTAAACACATGCTTGTATGTGCGTGTACAATTTATTGGCGTGTTGCTTCAAGTATTGCACGTATTTGCGTTGACAAATTTTTCATTATTATTCATATTTTTATCCAACTTTTTTTACGACCTTTTCTCAATATTTCTATCCTCAAAAGAACAGCAACGATTAAATACCCTCACTCATTGCACAAATTTTTGCAAAGGAAGAGAGAATGCAATTGAATACAAGAATTGCTTGAGAAATTATTGTGTGTGCTGTTTACACCAAGGAAAGTTTTGAAACAAAACTTGAAGCAAGTCTTGTTCAACAGTCAAGAATGTTATGTGTTGTTTAGACCATGCAACTCATTTATTGCTTCAATTTAATTGTATACAACAGGCAAGAAACTGGCACCATGTAAATGGGCCTTAACATATTTCAGCGCTTCCAGCGTTTTAGTACTGCACACGTAATTTGAATTAAAACCAATTTGTCGTACATCGAGATCTGAATTTGCTGACGTAATGACGATAAATCAACACTGTGTCGATCTGATTTGGCGAAAAAATATTGTAGCCGAAAATGCAAAGGAATTAAATTAAACCTTGTCATGTAAGGTATACCTACTACCTGGAAGACCTTTTTTTGGTAAACCGTGTATTTTTGAAATTAAAAAAATAAAATAATAAAGGAAGCAATGATCTGGTAAAAAAATTAAAAAAATAAGTGTGTAAATGATCGTGACACGAACCGCGGCCTTCTGTTTCGGGACCGCCCGATTACCGACCGAGCTATAGCATTTTTCCACAGTATAAAATTAACCTAAATATTTTACTTTTCATAGCATTAACATAGATTCATTAATGATGAAGATTACAAAATATGCAATGAATCTTAATAAGGCTCTTAAATGGTGCGTGTAGATGGAAATGGAAACAACATTTTACATAGTATGAATCCAGTGATATTAAATAATTTCCAAACGTTTTGAAGGGACAAGAAAAGCGGGTGAATTGAATCAAAATTTAATTTCAGCTCATGCTACCGTGCAATGGAGTCAGGCGGCAACAGCAGTTGGAGCAAGCGGTGAGATCTGTTATGATTGGACTAATTGCTTTTCTCATCAGGAATTCCACTGTGACGCAATTATTAACACAGCACCCAGGCTTCGTTGAATTTAATGGAAACAATAATATTGTTTAGGCAAATCAATTCAGGAAAGTGAACCAACCCGTAGCTAACTACGTATTCTAAATAAATAACGACGCATTTCTTTTAACAAAAATTCTTTGAGCTTTCCCATAAGCGAAAGACATCAAATGTAATATTGTTATTTTTTGCTAGTGTTGTTTGTTGAGCTGATTAAATGGTTTTATTATTATTATTATTATTATTAATATTTTGTGTTTTTTTTATGCGGTTATCGCTTAAATTCAGGTGAATCACCAGCTCGTTCGCCAGCTTCTCACACAAACGATGTGTACTGAATTGTTAAATTTCAGCGCAGGCTATTTCACAATTATGACCCTAACGAAGTGTCGCAAATATACGGCGTGCCGGAGTTTCCCAGTCACTTACCGGAGGCTGAGCCTATTCTGCCAGGACACACGCTTCTGAAGCCGTCCCTAGGGATGTTAAAATCTTCCCTCAAGTTCCCCCATTTGGACCTGGAGGACGGCTCGGGGGTGTACGGCAACATCGAAAATTAGGCCTTAGGTACGTTTGATTATAAAAGAAAGTAAGCAAATAAGTTAACCTGTTATGTCCCATCTGCTGGGCAAAGGCCTCTTCTGTGCAGAGTGTATTAGTACTTTTTTTGTATCGGGAGGGAAATCTTCGAAAGATACCCTGTCACCTTAAATATGTGGGGTTCTTACCCACTAAAACCTCTTGCAGCAACACGAGACCACTTCGTGCTGCTGCCCATCCGTGTCCCCTTTTACGACAGGCAGGGGATACCTTAGCCCTATTCTATGAGCCCGGGACTACAGGGCTGACAGAATGGCAGCCGTCACATACCTTCGAAACACAATATAATTTTTATTATTTTAAGTTGCAATAGCTCGATGTCTGGCCGCTCACTTTAAAAGTCAATGTACTCGGGGAAACTGAGCTTAAATGAAGGCGCTGACAACGATGAAATTGTTAATTGGTATACGTGTTGACTTATTACATACTCAGCGGTGAACGAAAATATCTCTAGGATACCGGCATATTTTCAAAGTAATAAAAGTTGAATAATTTTCAAAGGCACAATTATGGCCATTAATCGATTTACATTCATCTGCTGATAAGGTGCAGCAATGGGGTGCTAACAGTATAAAAATGGTTGCAATTTTTTTAAGAACAATACTCTTAATATATTGATGCTTCAGTAATAATTTTATACACACCTGAAATTAAATACAAACGTTAGAATTAATGTACTCTACTGCGACTTTCTACAAGGCCCTGGTTAATCCTCCGTCAATAAATGAATATTGACTGTACATTGATGATTTGAACGATTTTTTTGCAATTAATGATATTACAGAAACTAACCAATGACCAGTAAAGTAACAGTCTTATTAATTTTGTAACAATTTACAAACTTTTTATAATTAAAATCCATTTAGAAACATTCGCGAGCATGTATTAACGCAGTTTATAATAAAAACACATTACAGCATAGAAAATTTTACATATTTTTATGTGCAGGTTTAATAAAAAGCAATGGCTCATAATGTATAATGTACTGTTAAGGCTTATTAAAATGATTAACTATATTTGTTCAGTAATTTTTCCTTTTAATGGTATTATTAGATACGATGGAACAAATCAGAGGGTCTTGTATACTGGTTTTCGCAGAAGCCCTGCCGATTATTTAATGGTAAGCTAATGAAGTAATTAATTGATCCGTCAAAATAGTGTGTCCACAAATGGGATAGATACAATGATCAAAGCCACATCGAATTTATAAAAGATCATAGAAGATAATAATTATGTTGTCTGTAATATTAGAAATCAACATTAATTTGAATTAATTGCTTCTAGTTCTTATAACTAAATGTCTTCTTTGAATTTAACGCTAATACTCGTTGAAAATGGTTTCGCTTTTTATACTTTGTTGGTCTAATATTAAGTGTTAAATTAAAAACAGATTGTTCCAGAAAAAAATATGAAGCATCGATCAAAGCCAAGGTAATGAAAATATACAATATGCTAAAATTATCTATAAAGCAATTAATAAAAATGTCGTTTATAATTTCGTAATTGATTTTTCTATTAAAAGATTCAAATTAGTTTCTACTGTCGTTGATTTGGTAAGTTAAAATCCGCTGTAATTTTTAGTTGGCTATTTTAGAAAAAAAATATTTTATATTGAAAACACTCAATGAATTGGACATAGAAGCAAATCCATTATTTTTAACTTAAATTATAACTAAAAAAATAAGCCCAAAACTCCATACAATAATTTTATTTAACGACTAATGAGCCGCCCCGACTTTACACGGGTGCAATGTGCATATAAACCTTCCTCTTGAATCATTCTTTCTATTGCTGAACAGGACATTGAAATCCGCTACATAGATTAAAAGATATAAGTATACAAACATCGGGATCGACTTTGTTTAATACTATCTAAAGATGTTATATATATTTTATGTAACTTAAGTGTATCCATTAATATGAAGGTTTTTGTTATTAGATTAAACCGTCGTAATAAATAAAAACCAATTGTTATTAAACAATATTTATCTGATGTAAACTAATTATCACCGTACTTAGTCATCCACACCCAACCGTGGGTTGTCTGACGCGTTGCCAAAATTGCCAGCTTGCTTGCTAAGCTTACCTTGCTTTTCAGACGAATGAAAAATTCAGGGTCTACCAACTTCTTTATCATTTTTATGTAATGATAAAATTAATAATATTCAAAAACATACGTATGTTACAGGAGAAAACAAACGCTTTTGAAAACCTTTTAAGGCAGCTGCGTGAACTCAACTTGTCTGGGTAATCTTAACAATAATCTCAACTTAAATGACCAATCTTACAATAATAATTATTCAGTAAGTCTTAAAAACCAATGTGTTGAAACGATTCAGGCTTGCGTAAGCACTGATGTTTTCTAAACAATTACTTTCATCCATATGTTCTACAAATTTTAATTTTCCATGTCAACTGCAGAGATTAGCATTATAAAAATTATTATATATATATCTTTTGTTTTTCTTCGAAATGACGTTCTAAAACATGATAATTTTCCACCGTCTCACACACTTTTAATTACAAATCATTTTTATGATTCTTTTTGATTGGTGCTTACATTTCAGATCATCATTATATTATGATTATTGTTAGTTTTGCAAACACGTCTTGTTGTGGTATTTTAGTTCAATAATATAAAATTATGGTGATTATAAAAATTACCTTATGTAACCAGCTTTATCGGAAACCTAGTCATCTTATCAAAGTATGAATATAACCTTGAGAGATAAGTTTTTTTTTCTCTTACTTCAAACGGAAGGCATTGTATATATTGTGAGAACCCCCACCGTCACAACATCAGTAATGTTTCTAGCGTATCGTTTCTAACTCCTGAAAGTGTGGGTATACTGCACCCAAAGGAGAATACGCAAAAGTGCTAAATACTTTGCTATGTTTTACGTACTTCTAAGTACTTGTCCGGGTAAATAACGAGAGTTGTCACGCAACAACATGATATAAATTAGCGTTGAAAAACTTTTTTGATGTATTTAGTTTACGACATAAATCAAAATAGTTTTTTTTATCGTATCCATCCGCTGCAGGCCGTCCCACACTTCGATTTCCTAACCGTGGTGTCCAGTTTATTGTAAAACTGTAAACGAAAAATAATTTGTTAGCAATAACATAAATTTTAGTTTCTTAACGAGCTCTAAGTAATACTCTTTTATAATTTCAGAAATGTTAAATTAATAATTTTATCTGCAGGAAAGCGGTTAGTTTTTTGTTTTTATTTTAACACTTTCTAAAAGTATTAACATGTTGTTTGAATGGAGTAATTACCTTAAAAGTATTTTTTGTTCGCAGGCGTATAAAAAATCTGAATCGAATTATCTGTAAGTATTACGTAATTTTTTTATTATTATTTTCGCAGTTTTTATCATTTCCCCCCCTAAACGTTAATCGTAAATTATTGAAATGTAATTTATAATCATCTATCTATGAGTTTCATGTTTCTGATTTTATAGTCAAGAAAAGATACCAGTCTTCAAGTTACTTTATAAACAGTTTACGTTACTGCTTAATCGATGTATTAAGCACTAAAGAAATAATTATTGTATTACAATTATTAATGACAATTTTCTCTTTTGTATTTTAAAACATGACGAAGAGTTAAAAATTGGAAAGTTAAGGGACCAACTTTTCTTATCCATATACATATTGAAATGAAGTCAGTTCATGTCTGCTAGTGAAATATTAGGTAAATTATTCCTAAATTGCTCCTCGAGTCAAGGATCTTCCAATAGTCGTATTACCAGACGGCCCACTCAAGTTATGAAAAAAATTCATACCCCTCTTACATATTTCACGGAGAGAATGAAAATATTATCCTTAGCGCCTTTTTCGCGTGTGTGCACGAATTTATAAATTCAACATATTGAAGCAAGGACCCTTTTATTTTATAGAAAAGTTACTTACATCATAACATATTTACCCTTTGAGACTTAGGGTCCATCCGAATTGGAAACTAACTTTTCTGCGGATTCGATGAGATGAAGCTTTCTATAGTCTTCAACTGTAAGCTTAACATCCGTTCATGCAAGATACAAGATACACTTTTTGATTGTTTTTGATTCTCGTAAAACTACGTAGAATGGCCTTCTAAAATCTCACTATACGAAATAACTTACTATAATATTATGCAGCGAGTATTCTACAATTTATAAACTAAGCAAAATTTTTGTTAAAATAACAACCGATAGCACAAATCAAAGTTGCGTTTGTTAAATGATGCAAGCGCGTATGTCTCATCCCAAGACTTGTGAAATGAAGTGGTACATGAATAACGCTAACTACTCAGTATTGCCCTATAAAAGTCAAATACTAAATATTGTAAGAACTTATTACTTTAGATAAGTAGTGATTACTTTATTAAGAGTGGCATAGGACAAAAAATATTTGTACTTAGAAGTTTAAAATGCTGCTTTTAAACATTTTTGCAGGTCCGGGGTAAAGAGCGTAAGGAAATTATACCATGCACCTATTCTATGTTACATTATTAAGTAGTTTTATGTTTTAAATGCAAGTTTTCTATAGGGCGATCGCCAAGACATAATTCAATATAGGTAAGTGTATATATTTAATAGTAGATTACAAAATTGTAAACGTGTGTATAAATCATGTTTATATCTCATTTGACATTTTCTAGTCATGAAATTGAAATTTGAATTTTCTAAATTATGTTAAAAGTTACAGCTTAACTATCAATTTTTAATTATAGATACCGACCAGTGAAACCCATTGTAAGTTCGTATAATTAATTAGTTTTCATTGTTGTTTGGATTGATTGAGGTGGTAATGACCATTATGTTTTCATATTGTTTTAAATATTTGTCCATTGGAAACCATTTGTTTACTAAATAAAATTATTTTCTTCTTTTCGGTTATAATGGATAAGGCGATCTAAAAAGAGAATTATTTAAAATTGGGAGAAGCTAAAATCTTTATTATTCTATCAACAGAAGACAGTAGATCTTGCGGATAGGCATTTAATGTGATAGGTCGTTGGTGGTGTTAACATATAGTATATTTTATATTCTTGTATTTATAGGATTACAGTTGCTGTCGAAAAGTTTAGGTTATTTATTTATTCAGGATTATGCAAACATGATGCAAAGTTATACTCTTTTTATCAATCTTTTTCGTTTTCCTTTTCTTCCACATTTTAGTCCATTGTATACTGAAATACATGTCTGCTTATCCTAAACTACATACAGTTTATTATTTTCCATGAACATCTGTATGTTAAGAGCCAATATTTTACTATAAACAAAACCATCCTCTTATTATTTAGATATCACATTCATCTTTCTTTACACTCATCTTTCTTTTTTTTTTCATCTTTCTTTTTTTTCATTCAGGATCTCACAGTACCTACCGAAATAAAAATAACAGCAAATATTAATTTAACTGTGGCACTGCCCCGGGACGGAAGCCGGAAGTATCACGACCTCTAAGAAGACCGACGTGAAGCGAGAGTGTTGTTACTGTTCTCCAGTTGCCGTAACTGTTAATAAAAAATAATTGTATCTTTAAAAATGTACAAATTTCTTGCACTTTACAGCGTAGTGATTTGATTTTAAGAACCACAATAGGGGGTGAACCCTCGCGGAACTTTTCAAATTTTCAACGATTCCACCAAGATGAAAACGTAAATCAAGATCACGATGAAAGTCTTCAGCATCACGATAGGGAAAAAAGTTCAGACGAGCAGAAGAAAATGGACATCGATACCACTAAACAAAAACTGATGTCCTTACTAAATACGAAGGTTTGCTGAAATTTTTTTGTATGTACTGTACTGTACCCGGGAATAATTTGACTCAAAATCGTGACAGAACTTTAACTAATAAAACATGTTATTTCAGGATACTTTTAATCATATAAAATACAGTGAAGATGCACCCGAATATTCTAATTTCATTCCGTTGAACGCTAAAAAAAAATTGAGAGATTGGTGGTTCTTCAATCAGGTAGTTAAAGCCGACACTGTGTGAAAATTAATATAATATTTTATTGATTTTTATTTGATTTGTGAATTTCATTTTTTCTTACTATTATGAAAACAATCAAATTTATCATTCACAGGATGACTTCGGGCCGTTTACACAAAATTAAGCTCTGGCATATTTAAAATTTATCCGAAGCAACTTTCTTCGTAATTAAATCTATTAATTCACTTATTCTATTTGATTTTTTCCATTCAAAATCCAAAAAACATGATAAAATGAAATACTGGCGAAGAAACAACGCTGAACGAACGCTCATCTGATATTATGTGATAGTCGCCCCCCATGGAAATTTACAACACCCGTAGGGTTGCAAATGCGTAGCTGGGACCCACTTTTAAAGTGGGTCCCGGCTACCTCACTCACCAGACGAAACGCAGAAGAGTAACACTTCTACTTTACGCCGGTCTTCTGTGAGGGCATTGTACTTACTCGTACGGACCTTCACATTCTTGCAACAGTGTTGCGTGGCCCTCCCACAGGTAAGCAGTAATCTTGTTGTTGAACAGTAACCTTAGTTTTTTTTTATGTGAAAAGTTGTCAAACGAGCAGATGGTTCACCTGATGTTAAGTGAATACCGCCGCCCATGGACATCTGCCACACCCGAGGGTTACAGATGCGTTGACAACCTTTTGAAAATTGGGCTCCGTCTACCTCACTCACCATACGAAACGCGAAAGTATTTGTCATACTACTTTACGCTGGTCTTCTGTGAGGTCGTGGTACTTACCCGGACGAGTTCGGAGAGAGCTTAATCGTTTAACAGCCGAGGCTGCTGCGTGGCCCTACTACCGTAAGTTATGTGAATAGGGCAGATACAGTTCGATGTTAAAAGGTAAACAGTGCGTTTTGGTCTTCATTCTTAGCACAGTACAGAACCGCGTATGGAACGAGCTTTTACATTCGCCTTTGTTCGTACAGTTATTTTCCTCATAAAATAATATGTCTATGAAATAATAAGTATCCTATTCAATAGAAGAATTTGACATTTCCATCTGTAACGTTAATATTATATAGAAATTTCAAGATCCACAAACCGTAGGCGTGGGTATCACAGGCAGGGCTATTATATATTTTTTGAAGACAAAATTTTGTACCATATTTTAATCGCAATAAATATAAGTTGTTCATTTTACCTATATACAAATAAAAATCCTAAAAATATCCAATTGTAAAGAACTATAAACATTACCCTTTGAACATCTGTTAAATTTGTACGAAAGGGTAAAAAGTTCACGATTTTGATCTTAACTGTCTCTATATGATAAAACCCGAGACTTGAGACACTATTCAAATCCTTTCTAATTCGAACTCTACATATTAGGGAGAATTAAAACAAATAGTGATCAAGATTTCTTACAACATAATTAAACGTAAACGGTGTAGTTAATAGTTATTTTACTTAGTAAAATAACTATTTTTTTTTTTTGGAAAAAGAGGCAAACGAACAGCCAGGCCACCTGATGTTAAGTGTTCACCGCCGTCATTGCACGCTAGCAGCACCAGAGGAGTTAGAAACGCGATGCCCGAAATACTGCTGGCGACAACTTGGTTTTAAATTCCACAATTTGGTTCTGCGTGGCATAAAGTTACGTGAAAAACCCACAGTCATGAACTACAAACCATCGAGATGATAGTGATGGACTTATTTGGCAATTACACGTCGTACGCGTGGCGAAATTCAGCAGCATGTATTAATCATTACACCTCAGAACACACGGAGTGCTCTGAGGAGTAATGGATTCGATAAACAATACAAAGTGTTGAAACGCCTCTTCGCACAGTCAAATGATTGAAACGATTTGAAGGACCTGGTCAACTACGATAGCTCGGTATACCTCTACGATGGATGCGGTCAAATGGAAGGAGCTGGTATTGTGGTGTCCCAACCCAGAGATGAAAACAGTACATCATTTGCGACCGAATATGCGCTTTGTAAAGCTGCAGATGATGGATCGTCAGATAATACTGTCCGGTTCTACCCATGGCGCAAAGCAGGAGATATTAGCTAATGCCAAATATATATATTTTCCATATATTATATATATATTATTAGCTTATATTTTCCCATAATTTTGAATAACAATTCGAATTGAAATAACAAATCGATATTCTATAGCACCATGTTTCATACAATATTCCTTGTACATAAAATTGAAATTGTTTCAAGTGCCATCTAGTTGCAATTAAAGACATTATAACGGTATTGAACTATCCTTCATCCTCGTATATTAACTAATAGATGGCGTTCAAAACCAGAATAATTTTCTTAGTTAAACATTATCATGTCTTTAATTAAATACTCTACTATTTATTATGAAATCCAAAATTGCGGCCTATATTTCAGGCTTACGTTTCTGCTAATAGTTTTACGACAAGCAATAAAGTTTTATCAAATATTTAATTTTTCGTTTCTATTTTTCTATCTTAATTATAGGACTGAGGTAATTTGTACTGTAAAGTATGTGTTCTCAAATTTACATGTATTAATATACTAGTAAAAATATGTAGAAAAATTAATTATGGTACATATTCGATCACTAGGCATATTAATAGATAAAATAATAAATAACTGTATTACTTTAAAATACATAAAAATGATCCTCACAGAAAAAAAAATATTGCGTTTTAGGAATTCATAATTAAAATTTCGGGAATAGTCGGCGTGTTTTCGATACTTGGTTTAAAAAAATATTTTCAATTTGTTATAACTCTTTAATTACTATGGAAATAAGAAAACAAAATTAGTTAGTAAAACATAAAAAGGTTTTTGTTCAAAAACCTAATGCGTTTAGCATTAAAGCTAACACCTAACACCGAAGCAAATGTATGTTTTACAAAACAAATTTAACCGTTTAAAGCGGTGAATTGAAAGTAAGTAAATAACAATTATATATGAAAAAGCATTTCATAGAAAATAATGTAAGCTATGGATTTAATTGGCGTCCTAACCGAAATATAAAATTAATATTCAGGAATCGTAAAAAGTTCGCGTCCTTTTCTGATATGGATAGAGAGATTATTGTCTCTCTCTGCATTGATTCCGACATTTCGCATCTCACACAGTTTTCAAATTTACAAAATGAGTTTTCAAAACCAGTTTTGCTTCAAAATTTCTCTGATCTACTCAAATAAGGATGCTGATTAAAATTGATAAAATTTCTAAATGTAATTTGTGTTTTTTTGTTGAAAATTATTTTATATCTCATATCTAAATCTTCTTTTTCCATATTGAAGATTTTATACGAATATACATATTATCGGTTCTCGAGTGGCAGCCTCGTACTGGCCATCGCAGTGTAGGACGACCTTCCACTAGATGGAGTGACGACCTGTGCAAATGTGCGGGAAGTCGATGGATGCAGGTGGCTCAGGATCGTACTTCATGGCACTCTATGGGGGAGGCCTATGTTCAGCAGTGGACTCAAACAGACTGAAATGATACTAGTTTAACGACGGTGCGTAGATCGGAATAAGAATAAACGACAAAATAATTGACTGTAGTCGGGGTTAGCTTTGATATCAAGACGTGTAACAACATTGTCCCCTGACAATGAACGCTGGATAGGGTTCAAAACTTCGGGAATTACAAAATAGATTTATTACGATAAAATCCGTAAATTTGTTTCATTTTTCATCTTTGCTTCATATGAATTACATTCATATGGACGAATGGTGTGTGAAGTTGGTGTTTAAAGGAAGAATTTTAGCACTAGCAGATCGAAATCGAGAGGCAGCCCATGCTATGTACGCTTAAGTTGATAAGTTTGGTCACGAACGAAATTGACGGTAAAAAAAAGGAGAAAAGGTCACCAACCTTAACGCGAAAGAAATCTGACTAACGGAAAAATCGAACGGGATTCGAACCTTAGAGTCTATTTCGGATGACTCGCCGTAATTACCAAGCTTCCCTGTTTTAAATGGCCGAATGTCCGTGAGCCTTTGACCTGTAAATAAAAACGAGCCAATAGATTTAAATCGATACAATTGCTTCCATGAGCTATAAATGATGTTGATAGCCCCTCTCAATGAGTTGAAAAATAAAATTGGCCGATCATGTGCCAACCCGCATCTATTCACATGGCCACAATAAATCGAGAAACTATTACACTTATAAAAAAGTTAAAGGAAATTTGAAAGAAAGTAAATTAATTCGCTAAGTAATGTTAAGTATTAACTAAAATTTAGTTTACAAACCTAATTAATAAGGCTTCATGGCAGGTAAGTGATATAGATGTTTCGACGTGCTTTAGAATTATATTGCAAGCATCTTTTGAGATCCTGTTGGTAATACAAGATGATGAAATTATTGTATTATTATCGGATGCATGGAAGTGGATGAAAATTACATTTACTTCATAAAATACCTTAGCACTTTTTTATGTGAATAGTTGCCAAGCGAGTAGGCAGTTCACCTGATGATACGTGAACACCGCCGCCTACGTTATCTGCTACACCCGAGGGTTTCAGATGCGTTGACAATCTTTTGGAAATTGGGCTCCAGCTACCTCACTCACCAGACGAAACGCGAAAGTATTATACGCCCAATTCACGTACACATGAATTTTCATACATAGTAGTTAAGCCGATAATATAAAAGTGTTTTAAACGCCCACTAACGTATCAAAGTAGCTTATAGGCGCCATATTATTTAGTTCCCACGTTGGCATTTCCATTATGTAGACCATTCCTACTGCTACCTATTATCTCTATCTATTTAAAATGTCGAATACGTCTAACACATTTACAATCTTTGTCATCACTTGCCACCGAATAAGAATGAAAGTACCTTGTAAAGAACAGAGCAGATAATTTGCTTAAAGAAAGCAATTTAACATCCCAACGGGAAAAACAGTCAACTGAATTATCTATGCTGCTATATCATAATCGTAAAATTTATCTGATAATGAAATGTGAGACTATTGTTGCCTAGAACAACACAACGAAGTACTGATCTTGAAACGATCACTTAACTAACTATACATTGATCCTTGATAATTTCAGTGTTTTCAAGGCCTTTTACAAAGTTTGAACGTTTACAAGTGGCGCAGAACAAAAAAGATGCGGAAAATATATACTGTAATTTGTTCGTTTACATGGTAATTTATGTGCAGTGATTTGTAGTGGCATGTCATAATTTGAAAGAGATACAATGAAACAATTGAACTACAAATTCCTTATTGCCTCCTTGACGGCTTTCCTAGTGTTGATAATATTGACATTATTTCTACTCTATTATTTTTGGAGGTAAGTTTATTTTTAAGAGTGATAATAATTCCCCAAGATAATCATTCTTGAAACAAGGATAATAATGCTCTCATCATACATTATTTTATTAGTTATTTTTATAAATGTGGTAAATTTTTTAGTTAATTTTTAAATCTCAAAATTAAAATTTACAAGTACTTATTCTTCACTACCCAATATTTAACTGAACACACTTAAGTGAAAGAAAAATGAAACTGTTTATGAACAAATTCTAAAGTGTGCATGAAATCAGTACAATGCAGATTAGAAAATATCAAAAGTATTTAAAAAAATTATTACCTAAAATCTTAAAACATGACAAGCTACTTTTAATCTAAACGATTATATCAGTCTTCATTTGAAAATATTATAATATGTAACATAGTTTACGTAAATTTATCATTATTTATTTTATCGGCTATATCTCATGTTAATAATATTTTTAATGGCGTTCGTTACTCAATCTTTGACTACATTTTTTTAAGTATAACTCGATAATGATTTTGTGTTTTATTTCAGATAATGTAATTTGCACGCTTTTTATTATACCAAGTTATTTATAAAACATGTAAGTTTTGCAAATTTAAGATATTGCTAGTATAGATAACATTGCCTTAAGGCTTTGAAGTTTTCAAGCACTTACTCGGCTATTATGTTTAGTATCATTATTTGGTATAACTATAACGGACGTCTTTCTTGTAACCAATGATAGCCATTAAATTTTTGGATGAAATTAAAAGTTGACGGACACAGTGCAATTTTTTAAATTTTTTGTATTACATATTTCACCTAATATTCTTCTATTTATTTTAACAGTTGCTTTTTTATCGTGACAACATATGTTCAATTTTATATTTTAACGTATACATCTTTTTTTGTTGAGTAATTCATGATGCTTCTCTTTATGCTAATTTTGTTTATATGCAGGTAACGTGTATAGTTTCTTTTCACATCAAAAATAACTAATATTTGACATTATTCAACTCACATAGACACAATTCGGAGATTGAACAAGAAATAGATTATTTAAGATAATTGATTGAAAAACATTTTATATTATCCTATATCCGTTACAAAAATACATAGACGAAAAACTTGGAAAAAATATTTGCGATTATTACATTGTTTTAATAAGATGACCATTTGTATGTCTTCTTTTGTTGTCTTTCAATTCTAATCCGTTTCGTCATTATGTTATGTAAAAAAGCTTTAAACACTTAAATGTTTCGTTTATTTCAATTTATGTATATGCGCACTTATATTACACCATCGCCTTAAATATTAATAGTCTTTTAATCCACGTCACTAAATATTACCAGTCATTAATTTCCCCATAATTCTACGTTGTTCATATTCTCTAGTTTGATATCATAATTTTTTTAGCAACGAGGCCATCCCTCGTGGACCAAAATTGGTCATAGACCACGACGGCGGCGCAGACGATGCTATGGCGATATTTATGGCCTTGCTCTATGAAAAATATTTTCACGGGTGAGTTTTCCATATTTATTTCTTATAACAATTTTAAAAATAGTAAAAAGCGAGACGTAATTGATTTAACAAAAATTCTAAGTTGTAAATAAATCTTTCGGGGTTGTTTTTTAATTATTTTTAACCAAACATTACATTTTAAAAGTTCACATTAAATTTATTTAATAAGAATATGTTTATACTAACTAATGTTAAATTTTGAAGTCTGTAAATAAAGCGGGCACACTATTAAAAAATTACTGTTTATTTTACATGATATAATTTATCGTATGCCTTACTTCAAATTAAATCATCAACTATTGCCATCTTAATTTTAGTATAAATCAATCCAGACTTCGTTGTGTTAAGACCGTAAAAATAACACACAGACTTTTTTATTAATAATATGAGCTCATTTATATTCTATACAAATCGAGAAACGAGTTATGTGGTTATGATACGAGTTGAGTGAAGTTGAGGAAATCGCTTTGAGGACGCGTTATTCAGAATTGGAACAGGAAAAGACCCGTTTTAAAGTGCTTTTTCCGGTATCAGGAGTATTTTAACTTAGTGTTGTCCCTAATTCTTGAAACGCCTTTAGTAATGGTTTGAATGACGAATAAATTGAGTACAGGATTATTGTTGCCACTTCTTTGTTTGCTACAAAAGTGAGTTCATCATCAAGCTTCAACTCTTTAATTACTCTATACCTTGAGAAGTACCAGCTGTTCAACGATCATTAGTATAACTTCAGTTGAAGCTGCTCAGCTGGTGATTTTCTAGAGATCTTATAAGTAATCCTCACTTCCTTACTAATATTATAAAGGCGAAAGTTTGTATGTATGGATGGATGTTTGTTACTCTTTCATACAAAAACTACTGAGTAGATTTTAATGAAACTACAAAAATATAGCTTATACATCAGAATAAAACATAGGCTATAATATATAAAGATATTGTGTAAATTGTCCAAAATATGGGTCAGCAAAGTAGAAAAAATTTCAGCCATCCGCGAGATTCTGGTGTATACTAAGAAACTCATTGTTAATTCCCTTTGTCTGCGCAGGTGAAGCCGCGGATAACAGCTAGTCTTAATATATATAGTAATGACATCACCGTTTTCGGTTAGTTTGGACTTTGTGATAGCTTTCAGTTGAGTTGAGCACAAGTCACAAGAGTCCCTCTTTTACATGTAGGCCTTGAAAATGCGACAGAAAATCCATGAAATTTTTTCCTCTATGAAATTGAGCACAACATACTACAATGCGAACATCTTATAGAAAAAATTACCATCTGTATTACTTCCTAAACTCCCACAGCAGCCCATCACCAACATCCTACAATATATTCCAGGGCATTAATCGAATACTGTGAAACACGCACCTTCTTAATTTAGCATCGAACGCAACGAAATTTATAAAGAACTACCAGTTATCGATGTTTTTGGTGATTCCCCAGAGAAATTTAAAAGTAAAATTCGTGTTTGATAATAGACTCATATAGACTCATATAGATAATAGACATGAATTAAATTGAATATCTTCAGAAAATTAGTAAAATACACGTATTTAGGGCCCTGTAAATTTATTTTATTATCTAGTTGTTTTATTCATTGTACTTTTTAGTATTCACCTTATTAATTATGAACATCTATTAGATTTTTCAAACAGTTTTTACCTTTTTTTTTAACTATGTAAAACTTTGTATATCTGTAACTGGATCTCATATTTAGTTTATACTCTTATAAAACAGTGATGTATAATACCTATATAATGTGAAGACTGTTGATTTGACTAAATAACTATGTAAAAAAATTATCAAGGTTTACGGGCTTATTGACAAAATAAGAATAGTTTCTTATACTTGGGACTTTCTAGGTCTCAGCTAACGCTATATGGTTTGTCTTTCGCGTCAACAAAGTTGTGTATTAACGCAAGAGATGATTAAAATGCAGAAGATAAATCCCATGGCCTGTTTCTTGTCACATATTATGAATATAAGCAACTTGAAACATATAAGGAATATTTCTTGCTATGCGGATGATACTACAGGCGATGCCTTATATCTCGCCTCAATGTAAAATAAAAATGAGAAAAAATCTGATAACGCAGTCGTTAGTGCAACTAGTTATACTATTCTGGTGGCATTAACAACAGAATTTTTCAGAAAATAGTCTACATTAGCTAACTAACTGCTGCGCAAATCTTGGCGCGTTTGATTTAATGCTTCTACAGATTTTTGTGTTCTTCTTTTTTGTACTTTGAACCCTTACTAAGTATATTAGGTCGTTCATGGGGCAAGGCGCATGTATAATAAAATCCCACAGTCGATATTAAGTTTGCAGCTTGACCAATTTAAACGTAAAATCAAAAGTCAACTTATGGTTAAAGCATAAATTATAACCATTGCGGAATATCTCGACGACGCCAATGTGTGGAGTTAATACTGTTGATACTCACGTAGGCTAGAATAAGACTATTATATCGGTATGTTATATTGTAAACTGATATTTTTGAAAAAGAACAACTGTTGAGTTTCTTGCCGATCTCTTCCCAACAGAAATTGCTTTCCGAACCGGTGGTACCTTACGAACTATATATATATATATATATATATGTTTTTTATGTAAAATTTGACGATTCATAAGAACGATATTGATTTGAATAAAGATATTTGATTATAGTAGCTTCATACCCCGTGCGTTATTTTGACTCAAATTACAGATAGGTGATTCTTCCTGGTCGAGATTTAACGTTAATTTTTAAACAGAATGCAGAGTGTGACCCCCGCTCAGCAACGTGGTGTGGCCAGGGAAATGTTTTTCTCTTTTCTTACTTGCTAGCAACTGTTGATTGGTAATCTCAGATTATACATACTCTTTTGATGTCAACTCTGATCTCTTTGGTTTATGTATTATGTTTGAATTACTTTAAATTTCGAATGTCAGTTTTATTTGTTCAGATTGAATTGTGACATATTTGATGATTCTTTGAAAATCGCTTGAAGAAGCAACATGTCTAGTTCTCTCACATAACTTTTGTATTTTATATAAATTTCATAATGATTATTTCATCATTCATCATCATTTCAGCCTTTTTGAGTCCACTGCTGAACATAGGCCTCCCCCATAGACAGCCACGAAGTACGATCCTGAGCCACCTGCATCCATCGACTTCCCGCACATTTGCACAGGTCGTCACTCCATCTAGTGGGGGGTCGTCCCACACTGCGATGGCCAGTACGAGGCTGCCACTCGAGAACCTTTCTTCCTCAACGGTTATCGGTTCTACGAGCTATATGGCCGGCCCATCGCCACTTCAGCTTGCTAATCCTCTGAGCTATGTCGGTCACCTTAGTTCTACTGCGGATGTCTTCGTTACGAACTCTATCACGCAGAGAAATATCGAGCATAGCCCGCTCCATAGCTCGCTGAGCGACTTTGAGCTTCCTCATACGGCCAGCAGTGAAGGAACACGTCTCGGTTCCGTAGGTCATCACTGGCAACACACATTGATTGAAGACTTTAGTCTTCAAACATTGAGGTATATTTCACGAGAAGATTTGCCGTAGTTTCCCGAACGCTGCCCATCCGAGTTTGATTCGCCGATTGACCTCTGCGTCGAAGTTGGACTTATCTAGCCGGACTAACTGTCCTAGGTAAATGTACTCGTCAACAACTTCGAGCTCAGTGCTCCCAACAACAACCGGTATTGGCGTGACATGGACATTAGACATGATCTTCGTCTTGTCCATGTTCATCTTAAGGCCCACCCGTTGGGAGACACCGTTGAGGTCATTGAGCATAGTACTAAGGTCCTCCATCGATTCTGCCATGATGACTATATCATCGGCAAATCGGAGGTGTGTGATGTATTCGCCATTGATGTTAATACCTCGTCCTTTCCAGTCTAGAAGCTTGAAAACATCTTCCAACGCAGCGGTGAAGAGTTTCAGGGATATGACATCACCCTGTCTTACACCCTTCTGCAGTTGGATAGGTTTTGTACTACTGGACTGTACTTGGACGGACATCGTAGCCTTGTTATACAAACACCTCAGCACCTCGATATACCGACAGTTAATTTGGCACCGCTGAAGAGCCTGGAGTACCGCCCAAATTTTGACAGAATCGAAGGCTTTCTCATAGTCCACATACGCTAGGCACAAAGGCAGATTATACTCTTCGGTCTTCTGCATAATCTGCCGCAAGGTGTGTATGTGGTCTATGGTACTGAAGCCTTTTCAGAATCCGGCTTGTTCGGGAGGCTGGAAGTCGTCGAGTCTGGAAGCGAGACGATTCAAGATGACTCTTGAGAACAGCACATAGACGCGGCTCAGAAGGGATATCGGTCTATAGTTCTTCAAGAGAGCGTTATCGCCTTTCTTGAAGAACAGCACCACCACACTTCTGCTCCACGCCTCTGGTGTAGCACCACCCTGAAGGACGGAATTAAAGAGCCTCTGAAGGACTACAAGTACCGGTTCTCTACCCGCTTTCAGAAGCTCTGCTGTAATTCCGTCCTCTCCTGATGCTTTGCCATTCTTAAGATGGTCAAGAGCCATTCTAATCTCGCTCAGACTGACGTCCGGGATATTATCGGAATAGTGACGGATAAGCTTTGCTCTTGGGTCGTTACTCACACGTGTGTGGCTCCAACGACGATGTGTACAGCTGTCCATAGAACCTCTTTATCTCACTCAAAACCTCTGGTCTACTGGAGATGATAACGCCGCTGTCAGTCTTCAACTTAGTCAGTTGGCTTTGTCCGATAGACAGATCTCTGGCGAAGACTTTTGAGCCTAGGTTCCGCTCTATAGCTCCCTCAATACGACCTGTATTGAAGTTGCGTAAGTCTCGCCGCATGTATTGGGAGATCTGCCTATTAAGCCGCCTGTAGTCCGACATGTCAGTTAAAGACTGCAACCGCATCTCTCGTCTTTTTCCCAAGAGGTTGAGAGTGTGATCAGAGAGTTTTTGGGTTCTATTTTTACGGCGGGCCTTATAAAATTTAAGGCCCGCGGCATGGACAGTTTCCACGAGCTTTGCATTAATATCGTCCACCGTGCTGCAATTTTCTAGGCATTGGAAACGATTATGTAGCTCGAGCTGAAAGCTTTCGGAGTTCTGGATATGGGCACGAGATGGTCGGAGTGTGTACTTCATCAGACGAGATCTTTCCAGCCTAATGTTAATATTCAATGTGCCTCTCACTAATCGGTGATCACTTCCGGTCTTCACCCTTGTGATCACATCACAGAGACATCATTGAATATTTGCCGTTTGTTCGTCATAATGAAGTCTATCTCGTTTTTTACAGAACCATCGGGGCTAATCCAGGTGCACTTTCTGTGGGGCTGCTTTTTGAAGAAAGACTTCATCATAAAGAGTCCCTCTTTCTCCATAAAGTCAGCCAGCTGCTGCCCCCTTGGGTTCCGTTGCCCTATTCCAAAACTACCTACTCTCAGCTCATCGTCTTTCCTTTTGCCTAGCTTTGCGTTGAAATCTCCCATTAACACCATGTACTGAGTTTTGGAGGAATTATTTCATCAAAAATAAATTCAAAATGTTTAAGTTAAAATAAATAGTTTTCTAATCAGTCCTTAAGTGTCTCTTTGGTTTGAAAGTGATCTCATTAGCCACATCTACCATTCAAGAGTAACAAATGTTTTATCACTTACACCAGGAGCAACAAGAAACAGAAGTACACCACGATTGTGTTTGCTGTAATACTTGGTCAAAGACTTGACAACCCTATTAGAGTAGTGGATAGTGAGACCCTGCTCTGCGTCAGAGGATTGGGGTTCAATCCCCACTTTAAAAATTATTACGTTATCAACAGTGTTTTTCTAGTACTTTTCTTTTGTGAATAAATACTATAACATGTATCTATTAAAAAAATAAAAGTACGTTTAAGTATATTTATCGGTTACCCTGTATCCACAGTACACAAATAAAACTAAACACAAATAACCAAAATCGAAAACCAAAAGTCAACGTAACAAAGAGTAACAGAAATTGATGAATACTAAGAAATCAACCGACAAAGTACTTTAGCGGAAAGAGGTGTACTGGAATGTTAAAATTTATCAGTTAGTTAATATTTCCAACTATAAATTCATTGATTGTTGATCCTTTACGAAGTTAAAGAAAGACCAACCATTATTACTTTCAGTATGCGGTCAAAAATAAAAACGCAAAAGCTGTTTAGTGAACGATACTAAAATGTTTATTCACGATAGCACTCAAGATATGTTAAGCGATAATTTTAAATCGCAAACGTGGTTATAAACTTACTTTGTCAAAAAATAATGAATACCTTATGTAGATGTCGGTAAGCTGACGTTTTTGACGTTTTTGACATTTTTAATAAGTTTAAAGTGCAGTTCATAAGACTTACTTTCGATCTATTCAGAGAAGTTATTTAGCGTACTTTGAAATATTTATTGATTTTGAAATTAATATCATTCTCCATAATAAATAGGTACACGACAACACCATTGAAGTGGCATTATAACATACTATCACAAATTCATATTAAAACATATTCTTCGGTGTTTTAGTTGGCAATTAAATTTTGTATATCGGCGGTGACTACCACAGATGTTATCATCGTAATTAATAAAAATCCAATAATATTAACATTATTGCTATTAATAAACACAAGTTGAAGAACTAAATAAAGCATGTGTCGGGAAAAATATAATGTTTTGTTTTAGTACACACCAACCAAAAACTCACGATAACGTTAGATCGATTTGTTTCTTTGAAATTACTTACTTCAAACAGGACTTACTTGATCTTTTATAAATATTAATGGTATGTGGACCTGTTTATAATAATAAATTCTGTAGTAAGTTTAATATCAACTTCGATTTTAATCGATGAGTAGAACGTGTTTTTCCGAAATGGTTTTTATTAACATGAATTTTGAAAACATTTTAATAGACTCTGTCATTAAAAACTTGCGATTTTTTGGATTTTTTTTTATTACAAACAGGCTTATTTGACATTTAATTATTTGATTGCAAGGATCTGTTTATATTGCGTCTATATATAATTATAATACATATTTTTATGGTAACTGTTAATTTTGTTTCATATAATTTGAGATAGCCAGATCTTAAATTGCCATAAATTAATAAACAGGTATTTAAGGTATATTTTTAATATTTATCAATATATCATATTTTGATTAAATCAATGAATATAATGTTAATTATAATCTTAGTAGTATTGACTTTACCTGCTCGCTAAATAAAAATAAACTTTTTTTCTATCTACTCGCTCTTAACACATTTTTCATTTGCCTATCTATATACTAGTTTAAAGATATTGTTTATTTCTTCGAGGATTTTGATTCTTAATCTATACGCAGATTTGTCTCACCAGAATACGATGGTACCGTGGGTACCGTGGTTTGGCACATTGCTCTATCATGGTGGTCAAGGTGGTTATGAAAGAGCCTAAGTCTAAACACTACGAAATTTCGTGAAAGCATTGCCAGGTTCTTTGAATTCTGCCTTCCTTGAGAAGAGAATTAATTTTACTGACTTTTATCACCTTATCTGCTATTTCCGAGATCGCCTGAACCTGAACAGCACTCACAATACTTAAAATGATTAGGCAAAGAAACTGTAAAAATTGTGTAAAGTCAGATATTAAACTTCAACAACAAACAGTAGAACGTAGGTAATAGGGGAGGAAGGTTCTTGAGTGGGCATCACAATGTAGGATGATCCCCCCACTAAATGGAGAATGAATGAGAAGAACCCAATAAAGAGAGAATGGAGTGACGACCTGTAGAAATGTGCGGGAAGTCGATGGAGGTGGCTCAGGATCATGCTTTGTGGCTATCTGTGGCGGAGGCCTATGTTCAGTAGTGGACTCAAAAAGGCGGAAATGATGATTATTAAACTTCCGGAATTTGCGTCACAAAATGTAGGGAACGATTGTTTTTTTATTAAAAACCAGCCTCAATCAACATTCTTTGAAAAAATTAAAAAAACACGCTTCTGTGGATACACGCGGAAACACGCTTCTGACCGAACTAAAAAGTAGAAAATGATTTTCGATAAATTTAAATAAAGAATAGTGCGATAAACAAAAAAAAATCCTTTTATTGTAGCAAAAGGTGGGGTTCTTTAATTGTTATAATATTTTAATCAAATATATTGGTAAAAGTAGAAATGGAAATAATATAATGATGGAAATATAAACATAAAAGCAATTCACATTAGTGTAAAATTAAAAGTTGAAAAAAAAAAGATTAAGACATGCAGCAGTCTTTGTTCGGAAAGCTGATCAATTGAAAGTTTGTTCACAACATACATAAGTTAAATCATGAAATTAACTTTATTTCAGATTTCCAGTCATTGCTCTGACGACAACACACGGCAATGTAAATGAAACTCAAGTGTTTATTAACACGCAAAAATTTTTAGGAATTGCCAACAGAAAAGACGTACGTATCTAAAAATTACTATTAATTTCTTTTTATTTCAAAAGGTCCCTGTGATGGTTCTTTTAAAATTTGCAATGATTTCAATGCACAAGCGTTCGTCATCTGTGTCTAATCACCAGTGTCCAATAGTTCACGCAAAGATTTATCATTATTTGAAATAAAACTATTGTACGGATTTTTGCCACGTTTATTTAACTACTTAATACAAATTTGAAAAATGTTTATCACGTGAAAAGTATTTCCACAAACATAAAATAACAATAAAAACCCAATTTGTCGACAAGAAAGTAGGCCAATTCAGAGTTAGCTCAAATTTTCGGTTTGACAAATAAAATATATAAATATCAAATACCTTCTTTACGTATGTACATCAGCAATTATAGCGCGATGAATTATATTTGGAAAAGATTTTCAGGTTTTCTAGATACTTTATATGCAAAAATTACATTTCTAACTAAAACCTCTTGTCAAAGATAACTTGCCTTCTTAAGTAGAAACATTGTCATCAACGTTTCGGGAGTTTCAATTTTTACACAACGGTAGAGATTTCACATTAATAACAATTACAGGTATCTATATACAGAGGCTGTCAATATCCTCTGATAAAAAACATTCCGTCCGATTACTATTTCGGCGTTGACGGTCTTGGTGACAGCGACTCCGAGTTTTTAGATTACGAACCAATAGAAGCTAAACCGGAACATGCTGCTGTGGCCCTGGTAGAATTATCAAAAAAGTTTGAAGGTAAAAAATGTCTCATTTTTTTATCAACAGTAGAGAGTTGTTATCAACACTATCCTACCTAATGATTAGTGGAGATGTAGCTGTGGACGTTAATCACTTTAGCTCAGTATTAACATTTTTGCTCTTGATTTCAAGACGCTCACGTTATATTGTATTGAACACACAGAGAAGCTGATTGTTCCATACTCTTCCCTAACAAATAACAATAGATAACAGTTGCTCGAGTATTTGGAATTTCAAAATAGGCAGATCCGCTGAATGCATACCTTACACACTCCTTCCAAATGTTTCACTTCCCTGCATTGTATATTATTTATTAAAATATCTAGAGTATACAGAATAAACAAATTTAGGCGTGCAATCTCTTAGACAAAAACATCAAAATGAAATACTACATTTGTATATTTTAAGGTGAACTCATAGTGGTGGCGCTAGGTGCATTAACAAACATAGCGTTGGCAGTGAAATTAGATCCCGATTTCATAAACCGTCTCTCGCAACTATACGTAGCAGCAGGAAACGTACACGGTGAGTAAAACACGGTAGTTGTATTTGCGTTTAATGACGGAGATGTCGCTAGCTTCATAACGTCTCGACACCTTTCCCTCCCTACTTATTATGGATGACATTTTGCTGTCAATCCAGAGTTTTAAAAGAATACTGCGATTAGGTTCAATTATAAGATTTTGTGTTTCTGAGTATTGTTATTTAATTGTATTCATGTTTTATCTTCTCCTATACGAAATAAATTCATAAATAGTTTATCTAGATACCATAAACAACACTCGAAATTCTTAATATAACATACAACAAACCCTCATTGTTTTGTAAAAACAAGCGAATACAACTTTCAAAATCTTATCTCAATCGTTAAAAATAATACAGAACTAAGGGCTCTATAGCATAACGACAAAGAAAACAAAACTTTGATATATAATGATCATTATATAAAAGCTTTTAACCGCAATTTCTTGTAAAACTATAAGTAGGTATAATGGAGACATTTTCAAATACCAGCAATCAATATTTTATGTTTTGTATCAAAAGGCCTCAGACTAAGTTTATATTTTCAGATGAGGAGTACAATGAGCCAGAATTCAACGCCATTATGGACGTGGAATCATATTATGTGGTTCTTAATAATAGTCGTGCTGATTTAGTTACAGTAATACCGTTCTCTCAGGCTCTTAAATCTCATAATGTACACAGGGTGAGTATTTAAAAGGTTTAAAAAATAAATGGTTTAAAAAACTAAAGCATCGGGCAATAAATGTCCCACTTCTGGGCAAAGTTCTCTTCTCTACAAATAATATTAGTTCATTGTCGGTGCACTAGGAGCTCATGCTCTCGCGTGGTAATGCGAATCCAGCGGATTGACAGACAGACTTATATATTCGAAATGTTTTTCGTTATAATTTCGAAAATATGGTGCCACCACCGCCACTGAGCATATGATAAGTCAGTTAAAATTAATAATTTCACTGGCGCTGACATCTGGATTCGAACCCACGTTGCTCGAATACAAAAGCGAGTGCCTTGACACACGTATTAATTCATTCATTTATTAATTTGAGTGATAAACAGACACTAGATTGCGACTTGCTAGATCGTAATCCCACTCGATGGTAAGTAGCGATGTAGCCGTAGATGATGTACTAAACTAGATCAGTAAAAGCTTATTCACAAGACGCTCATGATATTTTCGGAAGGAAATACAGATGCTCGTAGTTTATTCTATCTTATCTCTATGCAAGACGAATGATAACGCAAATCATTTAGTTCGAGAACGTGGAAGATCCACAAACTTAAAATGGCACCCCACCAAGCGCCAAGTCATCCGATGACGAAACTGCTGCGTGGAGACTGAACGAATCAATTAGTGCTGTTCAAACTCTCCAAAAACCCACCCTTTATGATACACTAGAGAAATGAAATTCCATGAATGTTATATATACGAAGTAGTTGATTAAAACATATGGTCATTTCCAGTTTAACTCTGCAATAATTCCGACAAAAACTGCCGCTCAATAATTCTCTACTCTATCTCTTTCTAATAACATTTTCAAACCTCGATCTAATTATAATTATTAATTTTCCACAGGATTGGCGGATGTTTACATTAGGTTCTATACAAACAGAAATAATGAGAGCTTTAAATGTTTTCGAACAAAAGTCCATACTGATGAGTGAGGAATGGTGCCTTTTAGATCCCATTGCTATGGCAATAGTACTTGACGAATATCATATTGCTAAGGAGACGAGAAGGGTACACAACAGTATTGATATCTGTGGTAAGACTTGAAATGGCTTTCCTATATATTTGTTTATTACTATTCTGCAAGGCCTACTATGTGATAAGGCCTGAGCCTCTGCTATTGAATAAATAGACAAGCTCGTCCGGGGAAGTAACATGTCCTCACAGAAGCCTGGCATGGAGGATCGGTACTTTACTTTTGCGTTTTGTCTGGGGAGTGAGGTAACCGGGGCTACTTTTTAATCCTACAAGGTGACAAAATTTTCGGTGACTAAATTTTCCATCCCATAGTAGGTCCTTACCCCGAGGCCATACTCGAAAATAAGTGTAAGTAAAATAAGAAAATTCACATTTGAAAATTATTTATACACAATATAATATTATAATATCTCATATTCATTTATTAATATTTGTTAAAAAATGCAAATGGAATCAAACCCATGCCTTTTAGATTTGCGCTAGGTCATTTTATGTTGATTTTACTACTAATTTTAATGTTTCATCTTAAGTGCAAAGATTAGCACTATACAAATTAAAATTTCATAATCAAAGAGTTTCATGTTTTGAAATGTATATTATGTAATTTACTGTAGGTATACAATTGTAGAAAAAACAAACCAAAACATATTAGTATAATAATAAATCTGTACTTACGGTCAGTTACAGATTTTTCTAAAAAAAATCAATCTAAAAAGATCTGCTTAATTGAATCATATCGGTATGTAACTATTTTTTTTTTATCTGAGGAAGTGGCAAACGAGCTGGCGGTTCACCCGATGTTAAGTGATAACCGCCTGCCCATAGACATTTGCAAAACCCATAGGGTTGCAGATGCATTGCCACCTCTTAAGAATGTGGGCACCGGCTACCTCACTCACCAGACGAAACGCACAAATGCATCACTTCTACTTTACGCCGGTCTTCTGTGAGGTCGTGGTGGACGGGCCTGCCCATTCGTCTTGTATCTTTTATCTGGCTGGGAGCGGTGAGAACCGCCCCGGAACGCGGGTGTACCTTGTGTACGCGTTGTGTGGGTCTCGCCGTGCTCCGAGGCGAGGGCGAACTGGTGTGATTGTTGTTACACTAACTGTGGGTGTAGTGTTATCCGGCGGGACCCCCGGCGGTGGGTCCATCGTATCTAAGTCCTCTTCGTCGATCGGGTCGATAAGGATGTTTCGCCAGATCATATTTTCTTATTATTACGTCGGTAAAATCGAAAAATATTATGCATGTTTCATTACTCAGTAATTTGTATCTAAATGTAATTTCCAAAATACATGATTTACCAACAAAAAAAAACCGAGCAGAGCTCGGTCCTCCAGGTACTGTTACTTAAAGAGTACACTACACGAGTAACACTGTGAGTTACATATAAAATAATATCTGATCTATCTGATCATACATCAAAGAAAATGTTATTTAAAAACATTTAATATGTTTCACTATTGATACAATGTTTGCGGTCAAGATGTGAGTGGCTTAGCCACTTACATCTTTGACATGCTTGTATAGTGTCATGTTTTTCAACGATGCTTTGTAAAAATTAATCAAATTTGTAACAAATTTGTAACAAGGTAGTTCAAAAATAATCTTGAAATATTCTAAAGAAATTCACTAAAAACGTTATATTGTAACGATAATATGATTTTGAATATTTATAAAGACGCTATCTAGTGATAAGTTGAGTTAGCTATTCGTGTGTATATTATTTTTTAGGCATTTGAATGGCACTGTACTGTTTTATATTATCATTTTATTCGTCAATTTAGCAGTCCCAGTGTTCGATTATATTTTCAGCCTTGACGATTTTAATTTTAATTATTCGCTGATAACTCATTTCGACTTTATCTTTATTCATTTCAGAACAAAGAGGCATGAACATAAATGATTTTACAACAAACGAAACAAATGCAAGATTGATATACAAAATCACTGAAGAACCTTACAAGAAACTACTTCTAGATATATTCTCAGCAGATTTAAATGGAGTTAAAAAGTAATGCGAAAATAAATTAAGGTAATAATAATTGTAGTTTTGCAATAAATTATCACCTTGCTAATTTTGTATTGTTCGTAAAAAATAAAGCTAGAAAATGAGGTTAATAAAATATTACATTGAATTTTGCTTATGTTTTAAACCTTCACCTGCTTATATTTCAAACTTTCACCACGTTATAAGACAGCGATGATATTTCTACCCTAAAAGTGTCCATAAAATGTGATAATGTACTACTCAAAACAAAATAAGGGCCACTCCTAATATTCCGGCTAGTAGTATAATAGGGGAGACCGGGTATGGTTGTCTCACGGGTAGGTTGTCACAGTGGTCAAATTCTGTTTTAACGTTAGGAACGTTAAAACAGAATTTGACCACTGTGAAATTTGACGTAAAGTTAAGGAACGAATACGAAAGGTGATCGACGTCAAAGAATCGCGAAGGCATCACTTTGGTTCGATCAGAAACGCCGTGACGGAGAAACGTGCATTTGTTTTTTTTTTTTTTTTACACTGAAAGTAATTTTTCGTGCATCTGTGTCGGTCCTTGTAAGTATGCCTAAATTTTGAATTACAAAATACCTATTCATGTAGTAGTTAATTTAAATATATGGCGCACGATATTGTTTTATATGACATGTGACAAGGAACCCCATGCATGTCTGCTCGCTTTTTTGTTCGCTTTTTGGAATTTTGCTACATAATAACGTACGAGCTTGCTGTCACCAATAAGTTGAAAGTTCCACATTCTTGGTATTCAATCAAGCTAGCTGGCCCCGATTGGTTTACGTCGTTTATGAAGAGACATCCTACTCTGTCCATTAGAAGACCTGTATCCACTAGTTTGTTCTAGTCACCAGTTTTCTTCCACAAAATGTCAACGTTTTTTTTTTAAAACTTGAAATATGGAACATGGACGAAATTGGGGTGACTATGGTGCAAAAACTCCTCTGCGCAAGCCACAGCGAGCTGATAGAAGGAGATGTAAATGAGCAATTCTGACAGATTCACCTGAGAACACCTATTTAGAAGACAAAAAAAAAAGAAAAATAACGAAAAAGAAAATACCTATGTGTTTTAAGTAACAACAAAAAAAAAACTTACATAAAGAAAGAGGATTAAATTGAAAGTAGTTGACAATGACGAAGATGAGAAAGAGTCTGTTTATCTCCATATTCTGCTTACAAGTCTAAGGGAGTATGGATACAGTGCCAGGATTACAAGTTTTGGGCTCATGAGGCATGCACACCTGGAAAACCTTATTTCATTTGCCAAAATTGTGAATCTGAATATTCAGATTAATTACTTGGATTGACTTCATATTATATCGTCCGCACTTTTATTTAAAAGTATAACGTCCAAATAAATCAGTGCCTTATGATTACATTTTTGTTGTTTTCGTAACAAGAATTCTGATTTTATTAAATGGAAATTATATATAAGTGAATTTGTTGTGGCTTCGTGGCAGTCTATGGGGGCGGCCTATGTTCAGCAGTGGACTCAAACAGGCTGAAAGGATGATGATGATGATGAATTTGTTGACTATTCTTGTTATAATATTTTACATTCTTTTCTTGGATACTAGTTCAAGATTCTATTTCCAATAAAAATACCTACTCATTTGATTTAAATAAGTCCTTTTTTTATATTTTCCTCCCTTGATTTACTGTGTGACTACCTACCCCTGGCATTGTGACAACCATCCCTGACATGGGGTTAGAAGTCACACTTTTCCTTTTTCACAAAAATGTAATATTTCCTCAATGGATAATGTTAATGTCAAAAAGTATGAATTTATTTTGAAACTAGATTAGATATACTATCCATTGAGATATAAATTTCATTGATTTGCCAAGAATATAGGCACTTAAAAATTCAAAATCCAAAAATGTGACTTCCAATCCCGGTCTCCCCTATATGCAAAAAAAATAAAAAAAAAATTGTGATAGTTTAGCAGTAGTTAGATTTGCAACTGCTGATTGAATAAAAAACAATATTTAATAAAATTAGAACATTTTTTAAATATTTTTTCAAGAATTCTTACAATAGGTATACATGGCATATTTTTCCGTACCTGCAGTACGCGTCTGACAAATTTTGTTAGGATACTGCCAATATATTATTTGAGACGCTTATTGATTTGAAAATGTGAAGTTTTTGAAAGGAATTACTATTTTTGCCGTCGACAAAACTCGTCTGGTGTCTAGAACGAGACATTAAGTTCTTAAAAATAATAAATATCTAGCTTTAGGATATGATTACAGTTAAAAGTTTTCATCCTTTAAAAGAAAATACTGAGACTGGTGGAAGTATAATTATTCCTACTACAGCATTTTATCTAATAAGTAGTTGTTAAACTTCGTTGTCGGTTGGGCACTTAAGCCTAAAACCGGATTGAGCGGTAATTTCTCCGATAAGAAAATAAAAATGGCCACGGAAATGCTTTAACTCACACATATCCGAACTAGCTAGGGTTGGCCGCTTTAATAGCCCCTTCTCGGGGAGCAACTCGGCCCCTTTTTCACGGCCATCGAACTCCCCCGTGTTCGCTGGCTAGAGGCCATGGGAGAGCCAGTGCTAAGAAGAAGCAAGAATCCAAGCCTCCAGCAGCTGAAGTGGTCTGTGGCTCTACCGCTCATCACGTTTCGACTGCGAAGACTAAGGAGAGCGGCATATCGCAATACCGACACTCCTCTCTCCCCGCGGCCCCACCGCCAGCGCATCAGCGGTACCGCCCCGCCAAGTCACGGAGGCTAGGGAGGGCGCCCAAACGCAATACCGACTCTTCCTCCGTGACTCCTCCTCAGTAACCGAAGACAGAGAGAGTGGCTCCTTGTCTACCACCCATGACCTATCCCCTGCACACTCTAGCATGCATCCAGAGTTTGCTCAATGAGCCCACTCGGAGTGAGTGAGTGTAGATGGTGGCGAAATTTACCTTCCTATTCTAATGATATTCTAGCAGTTTTTCATTGCCTGAAAACACGGATTAAAGAACGTTCTTTAAAAATTAAACCTAGCTAGATCGATTTATGGCCCCCGAAACCGCCTGCATATTTAACTTCATGAAAATCTTTGAAGCCGTTTCCGAGATTCATTATATATATACAAGAATTGCTCATTTAAGGGTATTCGAAGATTATGATTTATAAAATCTAATACTAATTTATTAATATTTAATCAATTAACCTAATTTGGGACCATTGGTCCTGTTCCAATTATTTGCAAAACGCAAAACAAAACAAACATCCTAACAGATAGATTGATGATAGCCTTTAGTGGTTTGAACTGTTCATAAAGTTAAAAGTACGGTTTGTTGTTAACAACGGTGCTTCGTTTACACTACTTGATTACTGTATAATCATAATAAATTGTTTATTGAACAAAATTATATTTATTTACTCATATTATAATTTAAGTGAACTTATTTTCAAAGTGACAACAAATTTGCTCCCATATTACGGCACTTGCAGGTTCGTCCGGTCATTTTCTAATTTAGTTTTTAAGCCTTTGTTGATAGCGGCAACAGAAATACACCTTCTGTGTTACTATTTTGTGATGTTCAACTATCTAACTATCACGGTTTATGAGATACAGCCTGGTGACAGACGGACAGACAGAAATATAGCGAAGTCTTAGTAATGGGGTTTTAATTTTACCATTTGGATACGGAACCCTAAAAAATTCGAAGCGTTGAAAATATAATGGATTTTTAATGAATTAAAATGTTTATAAGATCGTGTTAAAAATTACCCAACACAATCAAATAATTCTCACCTTTTTATAAAATTTAACTCATTCTTTCGTTACTTTTGCGTACGATTATTTTTCTCAATTTAGAACGCATCGAGAATCGTTGACTCATATCGACTTTTAAACGCTTCGTCTAAAATAAACAAAGGGACGTCATTTGAAACGCGCATTCGTTCAAGAGAGTCACGCCATTATCAAAGTCGGAAGCCATGTCTACAAGTGGGTGAGTATGAAATATTGTTAATTATCAAGCTATATAGTACAAAAATAATGATTTATGACTGGTCCATTGATCAAATTTCTTATTTATAAATGGGTCTGATGATACAAACAATAAACTTATGATATTGAGTTAACGGCGTTATCGTGAAGTCTGTATACTAAATTGTTTAATAAATTAGTGTGTACGTGTTTATTAAACTGATGTAAATGATAACTTTATGCTTCCTTTGCTAGCTCGGTGATGGAAAAGATGGTTTATCATTAGGCCTCAGGTTGTTATAAATATTAGGTTTTATAAACACATTAAAGTAAAGTAAAGTAACAGCCTATACATGTCCCACTGCTGGGCAAAGGCCTCCTCTATACAGAGGGTATCAGGGCATAGTCCACCACGCAGCCCCACTGCGGATTGGCGGACTTCACATATTTTTGAAACATATATTTTTTGTTATTATTTCGAAAATATGCAGGTTTCCTCACGATGTTTTCCTTCACCGCGGAGCACGTGATAAGTCAGCACTTAAAGTTAAAAACTTCATTGGTGCCGGCACCGGGGATCGAACTCAGGTTGCTCGAGTATATTGAATTAAAGGCGAGCGCCCGGACACTGAGCTATCACGGCTCACACATTAAGTTGTAAGGGAATTTAATATATTACGTTAAGATATTTCATGGTGTAGTGGCTAAGAGGCTTACCTTCGGAAGTCCGAGTCGAGAGCTCGGATCGTACACTCTTTTTGTTAATTTCGATGTATAACATAGAAGTTCTTTTTTTTATTCTAAAACATTATTATCAATCCTTTTTACCCGGCCATTTGAGGTCAATGGTGCGTAAAGTGCATAACGACGAGTTGTTGCCTAAATTTTACTTTAAAATAATTTTTTAATTCATTTTATACAGTTTGTTATGTTATATTATGTCCAAATACTTGTGTATAAGCGATGGGGTGTGTTATTATAGAAAATTATTTATATTCTTTAGCCTGTAGGTATACCCATTTAAGCCCTGAGCTAAGCGTGAAGGTTTTGGCAGAGTTACCAGAAAAAAATCCCCGGGCGCACACAGTACGTTTACTTTTTCTTTTATTGAGCCTGAAATAAAATATACTATTATTGTTCGTGAACCAAAGAAGCTTCATTTATTACCTCAAGAATAAAAAAGTACTACATAAAATGTAACGACGTATGTATATGTATATATTTATCTAATGCATAACCTCTAATACCCATGGTCGGTGTATCTACATATATTTTACAGTAGTTAAATAGTCTTAGACTTACATAATATACTATACTACTAATTGATAAATTTTATTTGATTTATCGTATTACAGACGTTCAGAAAATAGATTTAAAATATTCCTGATGCGAGTCTGAAAGAGCACTCATTATGTACTACTAGCTGCGCCCACGACTTCGTCCACGTGGAATTAAAAATAAATAAAATTTCTTAAATAAAAGTAGCCTAAGTTAATCCTCATTACATCAGCTATTTGCCAGTGAAAATCGGTCCTGCTGTTTCACAGATTAGCCGGAACAAACAGACAGACAGACAAAAATTGTAAAAAAATGTTATTTTGGTACATATACCGTGTACATCCATAACTATTATATAACATTAATTTTCATTTTCTTTTATTAATAATATTAGGTATGCTTGTTACATTTTTTGGGTTCAGACTTATTCAGGTTTAGTTTACATTATTAGTCAGTTTGCATTATCAAGTTACTGGCTGAACGTGAACATTGCTTGAATATACAATAGTTGTGTAGTGGGTAATGAATAAAGTATGAGTGTCGCCAGATATCGCGACTTTTTGCGACTTTAGGGTAATATTACATGCTAGTACTAATCATTTGGCAATCTTGAACTTTCTTTTAATAATTGAATCACAAAAAATTAATAATTGCTTCTTTAAAAATATTTATTATTTTTGGTACAAGCAAAGCAAGTTTATTAATTCAATTTGGAAAGTATAAACATGTACATAAATTAACATTGAAAATATTAATAATTATTATGTTTATGTAATTAATAAATATATTAATCCCATAAGATCGAAGAAGATTTTTTGATGACTTTTAGAGACTTTAATAAGCTGTTAAATATATTTAAAAAAACATAGGTGGAATCAAGGACGAACTCGGACGACTTAATTTCATATAAATATTGCAGTAGAAGTGAAAGATTCGGCGATAAGGAAAAGTACTTGACAATCTTAGGTCTTATAAAGGACTTTGGAAGTCAGAACTAAACCCTGAAGAAAACGTTAAGTAGTAGCGTAACGTGGCAAAATAAATTTTAGCAGCTTGATAACCCTATATTATACTAGATATGGCTACCAGATGTAGCTGATGTGATAATATTTGTTGCTTTATGGCAAACTGGCGACCAAACCGGCTGTAGTGCACAAACCGCGGCCTCAAAAGTAACACGTCTCGTCTTAATTTTATAATCCGAGTGGATACAATGATACGCTTATTATTATCACTTTTGTTTACAATAATTGTCGCAGCTGATGCGTAAGTGACTTGTTCTATTAATTTATTTGAATATGGTAACTGAATAGTTTAATAAAAGTGTTACCTAGTGAATAAAATATTTTAGAGTCTTTCATTTTAAGTTAATTACAGAGGAATATCAGGCAGTGAATGAACCGCTTGGTTCACTGTAAATGGTAACCTGTTTATAACTGTTTCAAGGAAAATATGTTATCAATTAATTAGTGCCTTTATTGCATATTAAAGTGTCGTTGTAACTATCCTTGCAAATAAAGAATTTAAGCAAACTATAATTTAAAAAACTAAAAACCCGACTGCGTTTCTGTGTATTTTTTATTTTTTTATACCCAGTGTGACTCTCACTGTAAATACGAATCTGACGACACCTCTCAAGCTATAATCCATCAAGCCGTTTAGGCTGCACAGAGCGTGCCAAATAATTTTACAAACATACATACATACATACTCTCGAAAAAAATAACCCTCCTTCTGGCGCAGTCGGGTAAAACATTAAGTATCTAACTGAACAGAACACACGATTTCATCACGAACTGTCAGGTGTACAGTACCATTAGTAAGTATTTATGCCTGCTTTGTCTGAAGATTAAAAAATGATCCGCTAGTTAAGCACTAGTGTATGCCAACCTATGTTTTGGTTTCTGGTTTGACGGTGACGTTAAACGCATTTGATTTTGAAATAAGTTAATAATGTGAATGAAAGATAATAAAAAAGAAATTATCCCAATTATTATACATTGTGCATTCGCGAATTGCATTTTATAACAAGCAAGATGGTATAAAATTTTTGCCGCTTATATTTTATAATCTCAAGTCGACAGGAAAAAGTGAGTGGAGTGGATTTATTTATAGCTAAGAAGTGATTTAACAATTAAAAAAATAAAAAAACACGTGTGTACGATACATTTCATTAATTCCAAATGGTTCAACAATAGAAAATCTAAATCAGTAATCAGCAACTGTGTCAAAGGTTAGTTACTGTTGAGTTTGAGGTTATGCTCTAGATATCAATCTACCAATAAATTCAAATTTAATACTAAGACAAACTTATTTCTTTCTACATTTGTATTTTTTATGTGAAAAGGTGGCAAGTGACCATTTCTTATTATTTTTTCGTGGGAATCCTTTATGGATCCCTGCCACTGGAGCGGGGGAGTGGCGGGGGTATGTGGGAGTCCGAGTCAAAAACGGGTATCCATTAAAAATCCACGTTGCAACTGTCTCTGTCGAATTGGGCGGTCGAATTGGCCGGCCGGAGACACGTGAACACGTGGACGCAATCTTCCGCGACCCCGGCGAGACTATGGCCTTTTTAGTCCTCCTTCTACTACATGGCGCTGTGCCGGTGCAATTGACACGTCATGAGCCCCATATTGAGTGACAGACACCCCCATGCCTTCAGCTCAGGGTCTCACTATCAAGAGGGAAGATTGTAGGCCAGCCTTCAACACCCTAGTCTCAGTTGTGGCAGTTGCCTCCCTTTCTCTCTCCGCAGCCTCCTTCCGGGTAATGATGGCGAGCGACCTGGCGGTTCACCTTGTGTTAAGTGATAATCGCCGCCCATGGACATTTGCAACACCCGTAGGTTTGTATATGCGTTGCCACTCACCAGACAAAACTCAGAAGTATCACACTCCCACTTCACGCCGTGCAACACACTTTATTCCTGCAACAGCGAACTGTTACGTGGCCCTGCCATTAGATAATTTATTATGAATAGATTTCATTTAGTTAAAAAATGTTATCAATAGTGCCAGGTGTCATATAACATCGTAGCAATGAAAATGTATAAGGATTAGTCTGGAATAGGAAAATTGCCCAATTTGAAGAAAGAAAAGTGCAGGATGTTTATAATTAATAACAAGTTTGAGTAAATTCATGCGTAGCCCCTTATCCTCTAAACATTTACTTAAAATGTCATAAAAAATATATCATTACCATTCTCAATGCATTCCTCAAATTAAAAAAAAATGGAAGCTTTAACAAAAATATGTACATTTTTTTTATTTTAATCTCAACTACAAATAAACAACAAAAGAATAAATTTTTGTTACCCGAAACAGGGAAAGATGCATTGCAAGCCATCGTTTTAAATTCCGGACTAGATGATCTTGTATTTTGGAAATATTTTATTTTGGTCCTAAAGTTATATACTTATTATAAAGTTAATTCCATTTTCGCAATGTACGTTTAAAGGTACTGTCAATAGGATAACATACTTATCCCATTAGTGCCACCTCGTGGTTCTTTTTTTTAATCTTCATAGCAAACAGGTTCATTGAATACTAATTATGGAACTTTTTAAAGCGAGTGCTTTAACTGGAAATACTTTCAGAGATAACGACGGTAAGCCAAAGATAATAATTGATAATGACGCTGGAGGCGACGATGCTATGGCAATTTTTCTCGCCCTGCTCTACGAGAAACACTTTGACGGGTATGTGTCTTTTTAAACTTTTAAGATTTATTCAATTTTATAGTTTTAATTTATAATCAGAGTTACATTAGAAAGTAATATGTATATATTTACACCACTCGAGCTGCGAGCTAAGTCCGTTTCATATCTATGAGAAAAGGTAGCAAACAAGCTGGTGGTTCACCTTATATGTAGGCAATAGACATCGTCAAATATTGTGTGGTTTCAGCTCTGTAATTTATAGAAGGATCAGTCGAGACTACTCATGACGAAATGGCTCTTGATCTAGTGGAGAGCCGTGGTGATTTTCAAAAAACCTAAGTCATTCGGGCTGCAGCTGAAACCACTGCGTAGCTTCACCACAGCATTTCATAGCTTTAAAATTATTAAAATTTGTAGAAAAAGTACGAAAAGATTGTCACCGCTGTGGGAATCGAACCTACGTCTTCGGCATTCGCGGCCTGACGCTTTAGCCATTAAGCTAAACGGATGATTGTCATACCGACGAAAATCAATACTTGCACACAAAAAATTTCGAATATCATTTTACAAATGCTTCAAATGCTAAAAAACAATGTATCTTAGAGGCTAAAGCGTCACTTGTTTCACTTTCGTTTGTGAATTAAATGAGTTCATTCACAAACGAAATTGATTATGGTTGTGGGGAAATGATTGAGCGGGAAATAACGGACGAGAAATAATTGTGACGTAATAATTGTGATGTAAAATATGGACACGATATGTACAGACTTGAAAGAAACAACCGTTGCATAAGAGCATTCGTTTGTCCACAAAAGGTACGTACACATCACTCTTCCACACTTAATCATTGAAACCTGATAAAAAAACATAAAATTGCACCGTGCGTAGAATAATATTCTGTGGTAACATAGAACGAATTTGATTTGTCATTGTAGTCTTAATTATTGTCTGCGTTTTTAGATGACATTAAATTTTCTTTTCGTCTGACTTATAGATATTGAGATTCAGAATAGAACAACGTTCTATCTGATTGTGCTCCGGAGTACAAGGACATTAATACGTTTAGACACTTTTTTGTACTGACTAGACTAAGCTTACTAATGTAATATCTATAAGAGTTCTACCGTTTTTACCTTGATCCTAATATTTTTACTATTACTGAACTTGAATATTAATAATAATAATAATAATACTTTCTGGCGAGATCGGATGAATCAATCTACACGGACGTCATTAGTTGTGATAAAGGACTTACCCCTCTATCCTTAGCCAACGAGCAATGGCAGGACCCGGGAGTACTGAGCGTTTCCGACCGAGAGACCGTATGGAAGGAGAAAGAGCTCCACGGGAGGTTCTACAAGGCTCTACACGAGCCTTTCGTAGATACCGTTGCCTCCCTTAACTGGCTACGTTTCGGTGACCTCTTTGGGGAAACCGAAGGTTTTGTCTGTGCGATACAGGATCAGGTTATTAAGACGAACAACTATCGGAAATACATCCTAAGGGATGGCACCGTCGACATCTGTCGAGCTTGTCGCCATCCCGGGGAGTCGCTTCGGCATGTTATTCCGGTTGTTCCATGCTTTCTAACTCTGAGTATCTGCATAGACACAACCTAGTAGCCAGAATTATACACCAGGAGCTCGCTCTGAAATACGGACTCGTGGAACGGAAACTGCCGTACTACAAGTACTCTCCGGAGGCCGTGCTCGAAAATGACCGCGCCAGGCTCTATTGGGACCGGCCCATCATCACGGACAGGACGATTGTCGCGAACAAACCTGACATCGTGGTGATGGACCGGGCACAGTCGCGGGTATTTTTGGTCGACATTACCATTCCATATGACGAGAACCTCGTGAAAGCCGAAACAGATAAGAAGACGAAGTATCTGGACCTGGCTCACGAGGTGACCGACATGTGGGGGGGGTGTGCCGACCGAAATTATCCCAATAGTCGTGTCTGCGAATGGGTTAATCCCAGTCAGCCTCTCCGAACATCTGAGGCGACTGGGACTCCGGGACGGAACGCTCCAAGCTCAAATGCAGAAGGCGGTGCTCCTCGATACCGCCCGCATCGTCCGCCGGTTTCTCTCCCTCTCAGCCTAACCCTCGGCCGTTTGGTCTCCCCTGCCGAGGGCTTCCGTCTGGTTGGGTCCTATTTATATATGTATTATATACAACATTTATATGTATATGTTTATTTTTATCCATAATATTTATTTTATATATGCAATATGTATCTATATTTTTATTTTTATTTATAAACCCAACCAGACGAGAAAATAAATGAATATCCCCCCATAATAATAATAATAATAATAATGTGATTTCAGCAATTCTATCAAAATGGAGCTCGGGACGGATAAGTGTGCGGTCCTTCATGTCGAAAGGGGTAAGGTCACTAATACGGAGGGCATAGACTTATCTATGCCCGTTAACATAAGGACCCTCTCTGAGGCTGAAACATACCGATACCTGGGTATGTCACAAAATATGTGTATCGATGAGGCTGGCATGAAACAGTCAGTTCGTGACGTGTTTTTTGCACGCCTGACAAAGGTGTTTAATAGCCATTTGTCAGGCGGGAACAAGGCACGTGCTTTTAACGGCTGGGTCATGCCAGTCCTCATGTATACCTTTGGCATACTCAGGTGGACTCAAACTGAGCTCAACGCCCTGGACCGAAAAGTCCGCACAACTATGACGTCCCACAGAATGCATCATCCGAGATCGTCAGTGATGAGGCTGTACCTTCCGCGGAAGCATGGCGGGAGGGGCTTTTTAAACGCCCTCACCATGCACAATCGCGAGGTGTGCAGCCTCCGTAGCTACTTTCTGGCGAGATCGGATGAGTCAATCTACACGGACGTCATTAGTTGTGATAAAGGACTTACCCCTCTATCCTTAGCCAACGAGCAATGGCAGGACCCGGGAGTACTGAGCGTTTCCGACCGAGAGGCTGTATGGAAGGAGAAAGAGCTCCACGGGAGGTTCTACAAGGCTCTACACGAGCCTTTCGTAGATACTGTTGCCTCCCTGAACTGGCTACGTTTCGGTGACCTCTTTGGGGAAACCGAAGGTTTTGTCTGTGCGATACAGGATCAGGTTATTAAGACGAACAACTATAGGAGATACATCCTAAAGGATGGCACCGTCGACATTTGTCGAGCTTGTCGCCATCCCGGGGAGTCGCTTCGGCATGTTATCTCCGGTTGTTCCATGCTTTCTAACTCTGAGTATCTGCATAGACACAACCTAGTAGCCAGAATCCTACACCAGGAGCTCGCTCTGAAATACGGCCTCGTGGAACGGAAACTGCCGTATTATAAGTACTCTCCGGAGGCCGTGCTCGAAAATGACCGCGCCAGGCTCTATTGGGACCGGTCCATCATCACGGACAGGACGATTGTCGCGAACAAACCTGATATCGTGTTGATGGACCGGGCACAGTCGCGGGTATTTTTGGTCGACATTACCATTCCATATGACGAGAACCTCGTGAAAGCCGAAACAGATAGAAGACGAAGTATCTGGACCTGGCTCACGAGGTGACCGACATGTGGGGTGGTGTGCCGACCGAAATTATCCCTATAGTCGTGTCTGCGAATGGGTTGATCCCAGTCAGCCTCTCTAAACATCTGAGGCGACTGGGACTCTGGGACGGATCGCTCCAGGCTCAAATGCAGAAGGCGGTGCTCCTCGATACCGCCCGCATCGTCCGCCGGTTTCTCTCCCTTTCACCCTAACCCTCGGCCGTTTGGTCTCCCCTGCCGAGGGCTTCCGTCTGGTTGGGTCCTATTTATATATGTATTATATAAAATATTTATATATATATATATATATATATATATATATATATATATATGTTTATTTTATCCATAATATTTATTTCATATATGCAATATATATCTATATCTTTATATTTATTTTTATTTTTATTTATAAACCCAACCAGACGAGAAAACAAATGAATATCCCCCATAATAATAATAAAATATCTTTATTCACATAGACGCTTCTTATGAAACGTCAAAATTTTACAAGAAATTAACACGTTCGTAAGTTACCACCGGTTCGGAAAGCAGTTTCTGTTGAGAAGAAACCGGCAAGAAACTCAACAGTTGCTCTTTTTTTAAAAAAATCAGTTTACAATATAATAGTACAGGTACAATAGTCTTGTTTTAGCCTACGTGATAATCAACAGTATTAACCCCACACATTGGCGTCGTCAAGATATTCGGCAATAGTATAATAGGCTTTAGCCATAAGTTTACCATTAACAACTATTATAACGACAAGCAACACTAGTGGTTATATCACCGTCCGGGAACGCGACCGAAATCCAAGTGACCGCTGCTCCATGCGACCATGTGTCCCTTGGCTAGAGTAGATAACGTCATATCCGGTATACAGTGTTGCCAGCGCCAACATATCCGAGTGTAAAATACTCTATTAGAGTCAATTGATAATTAATGCACAGTCACCCGCTTTTTATGGTTTTTTTCGTTGAAAAAAGTGATACATGTGTTTATGTCATACATATTTTCTGAGTTTTCGTTATATATGAACGTGTGATCTAATATTTTTTGGAATGCTCCGTTGGACAACGTTATATAAACGTCTATATATGAACTTGTGACTCATCAGTTTTTGCCATTTTCCGTAGGAAAACTTCACTATTACACATGAAACCTCTTATTGCCTAAATGTATATAATTATTTATTCAAAAAGTATACTGTTTGTTACTATACCTAATCATATTATAAACCTCAAAAATTGTAACAGCAACTGCTATGTATAAGAAAACTATAACCAAAATAAAAAAAAATAATTTGAATCGGCCGTCCTGAACAATTACAATTTTGCAGATGTCACGTTGTTCCACGCAGGGTGCGATATTATACTTACAATTGACAATAATTTAAACAATAATTATCTTAAAACTAATATACATCATAATGACCTTTAAATACTTCCTATCGCCTACTTTATTCCTAGGCATAAAAATTACGCATACTTGAATCAAATGGACTACTTTAATTCTAGACCAAAGCTGGTGGGACTTACAACTTGTAATGGTAACACTAATGAAGATAATGTTTGCTTCAATAATCAGAGGATACTCAAGGTCGCCAAGAGACAAGACGTATGTATATCATTCATTTTATTATGTTAACGTTCTAAATAAATTGTCAGTAAGTTATGATTCCTTGTTATTCAATACAATTTGTAAGTTTAGATATTACTAATTTTAAGTCAATATTCAGATTTCTATACATTACATTTTTAGGTCCCTATATTCAGAGGATCTAAAGCGTCGCTTGTGACGACACCAGTTGCAACAGATTATTACGGGAAAGATGGACTAGGAGACAGTGGTTTGTATAATACGGATTTAGTGCCAGCGGAAAAACTTAGCGCTGTTTCCGCATTAATAGAACTATCAAAGAAGCATGAAGGTAATTCTGACTTCTGTTTACTGACCTTTAAAACCCATTTGTTTTATCTAGATTAACATAGTCAACAATTCTGGGCTACTTATTTTATTGAGTTTCCTTATATAGAGCTTGTTTTTAAAATGTTTATTTCTCTATAAATTACCGTCTTTGATTTTTAATAGTAATTTAAGAATGTAGTATTTTCTTAGCGTTGAAATTAATGAACTATAATCGAAATAGCGTATAATATGACTTAGCACCTTTGTAACGCGGAAGATTGGATTTTTTTACGATTCTTATGGTTTTAAAGCTAAAAAACAAAATACAATGAAATAAGTACGCCCGAGATTCCCGTTTTCATTTTAATTTATCCATATATTTTACTCCTAATACAGTGTATAACGCTGCGTCCGCAAATGCATATGTGCATATGGAGCTAACATAATAACTGACTGTTCACCATGCATTACATTCTTAATTAGGTTCATAAAACATTTTATTTTAGATAGAATTGCTAAAACAATACAAATTTTTACTCGTATTTAAAAAGTTTGATTTTGCACGATCACAGTCACTATTTGTTGTTTTCAGGAAATTTGACTGTCGTAACATTGGGATCTCTAACGAATGTGGCATTGGCTATTAAAATAGATCCAGATTTTTTAAGTAGACTTCAGCAATTATACGTTGGAGCTGGACATATTCATAGTATGTATTGCCGTGTCTACAGTCATTAAAAAGGCTATCATAGGTTGATTTGCACAATTTGATTATGAAAAGTAAAAAAGGGCTTTATTTTTTACTTGTTATTTTTTACTATTACTCGTTGCACCGCCTCATCTATATCGTTGAACTAAATTATGACAAAAACATTTAATTTATTTAACAAACAAACTGTATAAAAGACTGAAATGAGTTTAAATTGCTGATAAAACATATTTAATATAAAATAATATATGATTTTGACACAACTGACAACCTTCATGGCCACAAAAAATTTAAATTACCTGTGTGTGCTCAATGTTTTTGCATAATATTAAATTAAAAGCTGTTCCATGCGTCATCCGAGAGAAAAGTTTCGGTAAATGTATACCTTTAAATAACTTTTAACTCCGGCGTAATTCAATTAAAATAAATTTTAAACGGTAGAGATAAATCTCTAATAAATTAATCAACAAGCAGAATTCGGCGGTCGCTTATAGTTTTTGAGAAAAAAATATTTAAAACTTGTTTTTTGTACTAAGAAATCCACCATTTTATTTGTTTGACTTCAAAAACTCAATACACAGTTCTGCCAACATGATAAATATAGGAAGCGGGCGACATAATACACGTATCGATATTCCGATTTTTTTAATTTAATGAGTCACAGAACCGACACAGAGCGAATCCGACTCGGATAGATTAGGTTAGAAGGTTCAGGCGGGAGCGGAGCTCCCGCCTTAACCTTCGATGTTAGGTTTTTTTTTTATGACCACCAAGAAATACGAGCTGAATTGACATATTGACAACAAAAAAATGGCGGATTTCTATAGTAAAAATATCACTATTTCATTATTTATTTTTTCGAAAACTATAAGCGACCGCCGAATTCCGCTTGTTGATAAATTCATAAGTAATTTTTCTCTATCGTTTAATATTTATTTGATTTGAATTACGTCGGAGTTAAAATTATTTACATTTACCAAAGTTTCTGCTTCGGTCCCGTCAGTCGTAACGTGATGTTAAACTCCTTAACATTCCGCAAGAATTAGCCCATTAAATGCAAGAGATTCTTTCAAATCCGACTTGCAGTTCCAAAGATTAGCGCCTTTAAACAAACAAACAATTTAGCTTTATTATATTTCGATATTTTCAGGTGACAATAATCCAAGTCCCGAATTCAACGCTAACGTTGACGTAGAAGGCTACCATGTCGTAGCACAATATGCTACGCCGGACAAGGTCACCATTCTTCCCTTCTCCCAAGTGCAGAGATGTTTGAATTTCACTGTGGTAAGTTCCACATTGTACCAGTCAAATCCGAATTCAAATTCAAAATATCTTTACTCAAATAGACGCTCGCGCGTTCTTATATAACGTCGGAGTTTACATAAATTATTAATACATAAGTTCATAAGTAAGTTACCACCGATTCCAAAGGCAGTTCTGTTGAGAAAAGGTCGGCAAGAAACTCAACAGTGGCTCTATTTCTTTAAAAATGAAAGACCAGATTACAGTAGAACATATATCTAATAATATTCTTATTTTAGCTTACGTTTAGTCTTAAACACTTAATAGTTTACTTGTTGTTGTAAATTTGCCAGAACTTAAAGCCTACGTTTGATTGTTACGAGAGGCCGGGATAGAGTAACTGGCACATTTGACCGTGAACGACTTTTTTCACGGGTGTTTATAGCCCACGAAGTGCTGGTCACCCCTTCAGAATTCAAGAAGCTCGTCCATGAGTCTTAACGTTAGTCTTAAAACGTTTAAACTTTTACACTCCATAGTCGTGGCGGCTGGAAGTCCTGGGTCAGCTTCAGACAGACATTATGAAGGCCCAAAATCTGTTTGAGAAAATATCTATGAAGAGGAGCAACAGATGGCAAGCGCTCGACCCCGCAACTGTGGCTGTGGCCGTAAATCCCGCATTGGTCAGGGAGTACAAGTACTCAAAGAACAGTATTATCACATGTGGTAAGGATATCAATATTAATGTACACAAACATGCGTACGATGAAATATAGCTCATTAATTTTAATATATACAAAACTACGTACGCACAAACCTACGATACCTACATTAATAAAATATAAGTACAAACAGCTGTCTCTGTTTATGGATGGGAGCATACTGTAGAGATATCTTTTAAAGTTTGCTTGATCCGGACAAACACACGCCATTAAAATTCATACACGGTTTCATTAAGCCTACAGCATATTTCAGCTTTTTAATTAATTTTCCAGCATTTTTTATTTTCAACTAGTATTCAATCTGCTTACTGAATAATATTATTCAATAACACCCAAAGTCACAGTTCAAACATATAATTATGACCTCTTCCTGCTGGAACGTGAGTACCTACTCTCAAATAAAATTATTTTTTCTAGGTGAAAGAAGGGGTATCAATACTAATGAATTCCTTGAAAAGAAGGATGCGAATGTAAGACTTATTTATTCAGTCAAAGAAGAGGAATACAAAGATTTTCTATTAAACGTTTTTTCAAAGGCCAACTAAATAATTTGAATTATCTTAACATTATAGCTATAAACTACGTGACCATGTAAACACAAAAGTAATTGTGTACACGACTAGAACAGTTTTGGATGTGAAGAATGTAAAGTTATTTATATTACATAATTATAGAGTGTAAATATTTGTATAACTATATAAGTTAATTATCTTAATATGTTTGTATAACATATTAAGATAATTACTTAACGGTCCTCTACTGGACGTTGCAAGAACGATTACGCCTGTATATTAAAGACGAAAGAGTGATTTGTAGTAGTTTTAAAATTCTAGCATAGATGGCGCATTTTTAAATTTTAATATATCCTAATGCGCTCGGAGACATTTCATATTGTATTAGAAAATAATTTAAATTAAGCGTCTAATGTTTAAGAACTTTAAGATAAGTGCAATAAAGCATAAAGCTACTTTAGCTTTTTTATCTTTTATTTAAAACACTAAAATTTAAGAAAAATTAAAAAAAAAACATAGAAACGATCTTCACTAGCCTCCTTTTTGTCTCCGTCGTTATTGTTGTTAACTGATTACTTTATTAAAAACCTCATTAGCAATAAAATATTTGTCTCATTGTATTACAAGTGTTCCATTTTCAAAAATATTCGATGTCACCCGTAAAAATCAATTCTCGATCTCGCCGTTTTATGATTGCCAGGGTCGTAAAGTTTATCGCATTATTTATTATGAAACGAAAGTTTTACGACGCTTAATAAAATGGCAGAGGGCTCTCTATAAAAAACTATAGCAGACACTTTTATTACAAATTCCTAACGTGCGATGGTACTACTAGGTAATTTTACACCAGCAACCCGCACGGCCCTCGACGTTTTCAGCGTCCACTGAAACCGCCAATGCCCCATGTACGGTTCTTAAATTCCAAATCTGGTGGTCACAGTGGAATCACGTTAGAAAACATGCGGTCAATAGATTTTAACACTCAAAGGGAATTTTACCTTTTCGAATTACAGGGAGTGAATCCTTGTAATGTATAATAACGAAGCTGTTCTACATACCTCTAAAAAGGGATAAGCGTCATCAATATCTGGTAATAGATTAGGCTATAATAGAACTCTTTATTTAATTCTTTTTGTGTACGCATGAACTGACGGGATAAAAACTAGTTCATTTCAAAACTCCAGTTCAGCTTCCGTTGAACTGAAAAAGCATACAACCACATTGTTTTCTGTTATCGTTCATCCTTATTGCAGAGTGGGACTTACAGATAATAATTCGCAATATCTGAATAATGCAGTGGCCGTTCATATAATTAACGATCATTCCTTAAACACAATAACCTTCAGCAGTGCTCCACCACACTGTTTTTTTTTTTAGGTTTTCTTAAACTAATGTCATAGGCTTATAGTAATATTAATATTCGTAGTCAATGTCATTATATCCTTACGATTTAGGGATCCTAGGGGCTACGACGAAATGCTGACATTAGCCTGGGCTTCCTTAAATCTTAACGTGAAATGTGGTTGTCAACAGATGATTAAAATCATATTCAACAGTGTATATGTTTCTAAGTTGCCAAACAAGCAGATGGTTCACCTGATGTTAAGTGAATACCGCCGCCCATGGACATCTGCTACACCCGAGGGTTACAGCAGATGCGTGGTATTGCTTATATATGCTTTTGTAAACTGGGCTCCGGCTACCTCACTCACAAGACGAAACGCGAAAGTATTTGTCATACTTCTATTTTACGCTGGTCTTCTGTGAGGTTGTGGTGCTTACCCGGACGGGCCTGCCCATTCGTGCAACACCGAGGCTGTTGCGTGGCCCTACCACCGCTATCTATATGTTTTGCGAAGATATGTGTCATAACTATGTAATACAGCAGTACCGTTGTTTAATATGAAGTAATAAGGGTGTATTTTACTTGTCGTAAATTGCCATATCATATGACATGCTATGCTAATTAGTATATTATTAAATATTATATCTTAGAGTGATAATACGTAGTAAACGTTATAAATGATGATGACCTGGAAGTCACTAGGTAATTAATCTCAGACGTGTTCACGGTGTTGGCATCTTAACGATCTTCTGTACTACGTGATATCATTTTAATGGAAGTTATTCTTTGAGTTTTAATAACTAAATAGGTTCACAGATTCAAAATTCTTTTAAACTATATGTTTTCTATATTTTCCTTAAACATGCATAGTCATATAATACGTATAATCAATGTTTATAGATGTTATTACTTTACAAAGCTTATTGGTAATTTTAATATTAACTTTTATATTCATCGTTTACGATAATACGATAATTGATCGATATAGCGATAAAAATAAACAGGCAATAAATAAAATGTTAAGTTCATAAATAGGCAAAGGCCTATATAAAAATATAGAATTATTTAATTATTGTATAGAATTATTAAATAAGTATCGACTTTTAGTTTAGACTTTTGTTTTTTTATTGCATAATAGTGGGAAACGTCACAGTTTATTTTTTTAAATTACTAAAGACTGATAATATTGATTCTCTCTCTAATCTTCATTTCTCTAGTTAGGCCTGTAATTACATTGTTAACCTAAAAACATGATTCTATTAAGCGGAGTGTGATAAACGTAATTATTACACTTAAACTAATTGACAAACAAGAATAATAATAGAATGGACATATTTTGTTAAACTGGTTTGTTACTGTGATTTTAATTTTAATATAACAAGCCATAGAAAAGCTTCTTTATATAATTAATTGTTTTTTTTTAATAATTATATTTTATTTAAATACCTAAAAACACTTCCAATAACTACGTACTAAATTATTTAGTATGTATACCTGCCGGACCCATGTGGTAGATCAGGTGTTTGTATGATATATATATATATATATTATATTCACTATAATAGAGGGCCATTTTTTTTAAACCTACTAAAGTCATGAGTCGAAATATCATCTATTACGTCCTTCACCCTACAAATGATTACGGCAAATTAACTTATAAGAGATTTTTGATTATAAAATATTCAAATATATAATATGTAAGTGTGGAAAATTAGGCCTTGGAGTGATTTAACTTCACAGGCATTGCACAGCACAACAAAAATATCTTTTTATATAGCTATACTAGCTATATAAAAAGATATTTTTGTTGTACTTCATTACTATTTTGTTATTTTTTATAAGTAGGTATGCTTAAATTGGAAATAAAGTTTCAGTTGACGGCGTTAAGGTAAATGTGACTTACTCTGAAATGATATCATTTTATTTATCCACCACTTATTTCCTAAAATAGCTATACAATTATATACAGCATATGAATAAAAACCAAGTGAAATTAAAGTTAAATCTAATCTAATATAGGTATATAATAAATCTATAGGTAAATAATAAATATTGTACCTAAACAAACGTATCTTTTTCACTCGAGTCCAGTTTGAAAATGCGGTACTTTTTGAAAATCTTTCTTATTTTTTTTATGTGAGAAAGTGGCAAACGAGTTGGCGGTTCACCTGATGTTAAGCGAGAACCGTCGCCCATAGACATTTGCAACCCCCGCATAGGGTTGCAGATGCGTTGCGATCTTTTAATAAAGTGGGCCCCGGCTACCTCACTCACTAGAAGAAACGCAGCAGTGTAATACTTCTACTTCACGTCGGTCTTCTGTGAGGTCCTGCTTCTAGCCCGGGCGGATCTGCCCATTCGTGCAACGGCTTTAGGCTAATTTATAAGTTATGTTTTGTTGAAAGTAAACAAGGTCGACGCATTTATACGCGCATCCGAAACGCCTATGGCACATCATATAGGATAACGTAAACTTAGAGTCACGCGTAATACCATACTGTCCGCGTCCGATATTAGGAGCCATTGACTGGGGGGACGGTGCGCCCCTTGAGACGATGCCCGGGTTATGGGGTTATGGGGCTGCGTGCAAGCGTGCGTGCGTGCGTGCGTGCGTGCGTGCGAGCGTGCGTGCGTGCGTGTGTGTGTGTGCAACGGCTCTAGCAAAAATTCTAAATTTATCGCTTAATAAATTAAACTGCACTTGAGCTACATTATTAATTCGTTTTAGCAGTTTTCTTGTGAGAAAAAGTTCTAGTGTCGTTCTACCTACCTTTCCTGCCTAGCGTAAACAATTAATATAATAATATCCTAAACCACAATTCAAACCTTTTCGAATTGTGATTTAATGGTTTGTCATGGCTATCTGCTCCAATAAATGTTTTCTTTGGAACTAAACCTTCAAAAACGCTTCAATCTTTAGAGTGTGCCCGTTTTCTAGGTGTCTCATCTAAAGAATGTTATAGGCTTCATGCTTTACCATTAAGTTTCTTGGGCACATTAGTAATACCTGCAAACATCATCGCGGCTCCAGTGGCGATGTGTGCAGCAATTTATAGAAAAACTACTATTTAAAAATAATAATCCCCTTTCACCACACAAATAGGTAAAAGTGAACACAAAATTATAGAAAGTCATGTATTTATAATAGTCGTTCACTAAGAGTTTTATCTTTGCGTACTCATGGACAAAATCCTGATAGAATCTTCTTGTAAAGCTAATGGTGAAAGCGGAGCGTGTATTCTGTATTACTTTTAATATTTCTGTATTGTATATCAATAAAAAAAACTTTACCAACGACCTTCACATATATTTTATACACGGCAACATGACGGATGCACATTTATTTTGTAATTATCTAAAATATGACCTAAATGATACAGAAAAATAGACGAAAATGTAAATCATATTATTTTGTTAACTTAATGTTTAGATTCATAATAAACTTTTATATAAAGTTCTTCATAAAATTAACACTAAGGAATCATGTTGTCTTGATTTATAATTAAAGTAAAAGTTAAGAAGCAACACCTATACAGTAATTTTTAGTTTGATGTTATTAATGCGTTGAAACTTGTGTGTTTAATAAATAATTGATAATGCTGAGGGAATCGTTCATTTAAGACATGTTAATATATTAATTTAAATTCCATTCATCCGATAAAATTTTCATTACAGCTGTACATTA